CCTCATGCTTTTGCCGTTGCCTCAGGGGCTTCTCAGCTTGCCCGCTAGTGATATAGCATTCGACTAGTATTTGAAATACACAATATAGCCATAGTAAAAGTCCATATTTTGTAGGTCTCCGAAGTTAACACCAGCAATTGTTTTGGCAATAAAGGCAGGTGATAGCAGTAATAGAAGTGTTTCCTCCTGTTTGGAACTGACAGGTCACCCGTCGTAGCAGCAGAGCTTTTGGTTTACCTGCGTTCTTGCCTTACTCCAAAACGGAAGAGGGCTGAAGCTACAAGCACTATTCCTTCATCAGGTAGAGTAACTTCCCCTGACAAGGGAAGTTAGCTGATGAACAGGCTTGTCAAAAGATCACTGATTAAAATAAACACCTCTGAAAGCCAGGCTGGCTTTTCAGCATATCATTCTACAGCACCAAAAGCAGGGCTGCTAGTATAGAATGAGAGCCTGAATCAGCCGTAGTTCTAGCCATAGGGTTAGAGGTGCATTAGTGCGATGATTTTATCTTCACTGTCCTTAGCTGCTGAAGAAACTCAGTAAGAGCATATCCATTCCAGGATTTCTGTTTCTTTCCTTGAGGACATTATGGCTATTCCCATGAGCACCAGAAGTCTCAAATTCCTTCTCTTACTCGCAAAGCAATAGGAAGAAGGGTGATAAAGATGATCAAAGATATGGAATGGCATCTTTTTGAAAATAAAGAAATGTCGTTCATTGAAAACAAGCTCAAGTTAACTGAGGAGAGTGAGACTGACGTCTATAAGATGAGATTATCAGGAGAGAGACTCAAACCAAACCAAATATGCCATTGTACATGCACTTAAACTGAAATTACTTCCATAAGGATATTTGGATTCTAAAACTAGACCTGGATTTAAAAACTGAATGGATAAAATAATGCAAGAAAAAAATCCCTCAGGCAGTATGGGACACACAGATAACCCCACCCCCTCTGACAGACTCTAGGTCAGAGATCATATCAAGCTTGGAAAATACACTAGGAAAATAAAGTGACGTGCTAGCCCTGCTCTGAGCTTTGTCCTAGTCATCTGCTATCACCCCTTGTCAGAAAAGGGATTCTGAGGTAACTGGATCTTTGGACTACCTCAGTATGACCATTATTTTATTTTGTATGACATGCTCAATTTTGACGTTGTCAGGTTCTTACCTATGATTTGCATTGTTATTGCAACTTTATCAGTCATGTTTTCTATCTGAAGAGTGACTTCATATGCTCCTGAGTGATGGAGCTCTGCCTTTCTGATGAAAAGGATTGTATCCGTGTTGCTGTTCCGAATTCCCACATCTTTGGAGTCTAGTGTTTGGCCATCTTTCATCCAAATGATTTTGGGTCTTGGTTTACCCTGAAGAGAAAAAAAAAAAAGATTTTTTTAAATTTTTTTTTTCCCCGATAATTTTCCAGTTTTCATTCCTTCGGCTACAGAGGGAGATGAGGTTACTCAGACTCTTGGTTTAGGTGCCTAAAGGTAGGCAGAATAAAAATAACAAGTCTGTGCAGCATCATATATTTTTTTGTGTGGTTTCAGAAAAAAAACCTCCTTTATAAGAGTCAGGCCAAGATCCATCCAAAATTACACTTAAAGGACATCTAAAACACATAGATGTTGCTACTCTTCAACAGATGAACTTTTTTTTCTGGCATATACTTGATCAGATGTAGTGTAATTGATTTTACATTTGGGCTGATAATAAAACTTGAATGAGAATGGTTTACATCTTCCATTTTCCCCATCTGGTAACAGATTTTCTTACTGCATTCTGCCGAGGAGTATAGCCACCTCCAGCCAGTAGCCCTAAAATATTAGAAACGAGATTATCTTGTCCATTTCTAGTGTAGCTTCACCCTGGTTTCATTTCATAGAACTCCTACAAAAACCTGTTAGAGTAAGACATGGCTTCCCTTCTTTAGCTGGAAGGTAGGCTAGAAGTCCTTGGATGAGTAAACAGATGTGGTTTTCTTGGTTTACATCTTCCCTATATCTATGTCTGATTATTGATTAACTTGACTTGACAAGAATTGACTCTGGTTTACTTTCCACATATGCGTATATTTTATAATGATATGAGGATTCTCAGAATTAAAAATTTTGGCCAGAGCAATGCTTTCAAAATAAAACCAATCTACTTCAAATGGTATAATTACAAAGCAATATTATTTACATTTCTAATTTTTCAAGACAGATACTTGGCTAAGTTTCAGACCAATTACAAGATTCAATGGTTCTTGATGAATCAAGTAATGCGGTGATTCAAGGATCTGGCCCTAAATATCTTGGCAAAAATGTGCATGAGAAACCACAGCATTATCTTTACCATAAGAAGTACCTTGATTATAAATCAAGCCTTGCTACTGCTGGTGTTCTAGTGTGGTGGGTCAAATATGTTCACTGACAGCACCTCACCTCCTCTTTCGAGGTGCTATGAGCACCAGTGAAAGACTGGAAGCGTTCAAAGTGTCGATTTTCATATACTCTTGTATTTATAGACTGTGAAAAGCACAAACGGATAGAAAACATATTCCAAATACACATCTCAGAGGATTTGGTTTCTGTAATGTGTAATAGGTAATCCGAGAAAGAACAGCGAGTGACAAGTGGGTAAACAGCACACCAGAGAAACTTCAGGATTTTACCGCCAGGGAATAATGCATTTAAATGCTTTTATATTTTTATATTCATGTATATATGACGAGCAGTAAGACTGCTCAGTACTACTGTAATTTTTATCCACTAACAGCACATAATATCCCTTCAATCATACACCCATGCAGTTAACTGCAAAATAAGAATGTGTTGATTCCTTGCCTTTCAGTAGAATGTCACACCTGCTTAATGCACTCAACAGATAGTATTCTGCCTGCTTGTGCTTCATGTTGTGCTCAAGGTTCACAGTAATTCCACTATTTATATATTTTCTCCTATATCCATTTTGTAATTTGAATATTGCAATCATATCTATTTAGTCTTTTCTTCAACAGAAATAGTTGGTGATTTAAACATTTTCAAAATGTAAGGTGAGACGTTCTTTTTGCTTTGCTTTTTTATAAAGATCCTCAGTTTTGCATATTCTAAATAACTTCTGCAGGATTAAGAATTTTAACTGTAGATGCAATTCAGCACTACTACAAACTTAGTTTTTTCAAAAAATACCTCTTGAATCAAAATCCTTTTGTTTTGTTCTCAGGCTAAAAATCCATGTTGATGCACATATTTTAGCATCTTTTGTTAGCCTAGCCTTTTAGGTAAGAAAAGAGTTTATGCCAAGACATGATTTGTCTGTCAGTCAGATAGCCAGCTTTTGAACCAGTTGGTCCATTTCAGCTAAATTTGACAGTGCGCTTTCACCGGCCCATGGGAGCAGGGCAGAGAATGGCACATCTCTGGTGTTGTTCCAATGAGGCTACTCTAAGCAGAAAAGGTGTGCTCTTATGCTGGGAAGATGGTGACGTAGGGGATACAAGACATAAATCTATCAAATGCCAAATATCACCCGTTCCTCCATTTACGGGATGGATTCTCAAGACTGTGCAAATTTCCTTCATCTCAGACACCAAAGCAGCAACAATATCTGTTCATTTAATTCATATTTTTAAAAAATTTACATAACTCAGAAACATCTGATGTAAAATCTTGAATTTTGCATGCAGCTGGACCTCAGTGAAGGGGCCATTTTAGCAATTTTGGAGATAAGAAATACGAAAGAAAAAAATAAGCATGCTGTTACGTCAAAGCAGTGCAAGCATGCAATTCAAGGCAGTTACTCCCTGTATGGGTTTGCAGCCATTTGCTGACCAGATAAATTTTTGTGAAAAAAACCTGCTTTTCACATAACCCAGTATCCACAGGGCAAAAGACTACATAGATTTTGCTCTTACACAGAATGAATTTTTTTTATTTTTATTTTCCTGCCTGTGCTGCTCAAATAAAAGAACACAGGTCACATGTGCCTATGTCTCCCTTGCTGAAAAATGTTTTGTTTATCCACAGCATCTTTTATGTGACAGTTAAAAAACTCTTCACTAATGAGTGATTACATTTTCAGAAATGTCTGCCTTGGAAATTAGAGAAATTTTAGTTTCTTCAAACCATAAATGAGGACTAGATTAAATTATGTATCTGTTATTACTGAGGCTCTCTCTATCAGAGCCATAGTCTGCTATTTAAAATTTCTTTTCCTGTGTCTCACTCAGAAAACCTTTTCCTTTCTCACACTAATTCTTGCACCGTATTATAGTCTTGCATCTAAAAAAATGCATGTGGTTTTTATAAATAGTCATTACAGTTGCTTCTACAGCTGTAGAAAATGCCAAAACAGGATAAGCAGTTAGGTCGGTCTGAGCGTATAGTTCAGCAGTTATGTGCATGCAACAGCATCACACACGCTTACCCACATGCGCTCCTGATAGTCTCTGGCACACTGTGGTTTTTTACACCTTGAGCTCAGGTACAGTAACACCAAAACTATTGTTTGTATTCACATAGATTCCGTATAGGTCCAATTGTGCTACTCTGTCTATGTACAAACTCTAATTTTTATACTCAGCCTTTCAGAAAGGAGCATATGCACTTCAGGCAAAGAAGTTGCCCAGTGATGCCACGTACTTTGGCTCCAGAAGAGCAACTGGTTGAACTCTTACACTTCTGTGAACGGTCTTTAAGATGCATCCTATGGTCAATAAGCACGAATGGGCTTGCACACACTTAGAGCACTTACTGTTTCTTCTTCCCCAAAGGAAGGATTATGGAAGAAACCGACTGTAAAAGACCTCTGTGACTGAAGGAAGAGTCATTTCTTTTTTTTCTCCTCCTTTCTTTAGTGTTTGAGAGCTTTTTTAAATCATCAGCCCTACTTTCTGTAGTACTGTTTAAGCAGTGAAGCACTAGGAATATGCATAAGGAAAACTACTTTCGGGATATAATGGTAAGTAACCACAACAGAATAGAAACAAATACATACCTGAAAAGGGATCACAATATTGATAGTCTCACCCACTTTTTTCACCAGAGTCTGTCTGAGATGGCGGGGCAACCAGATTTTGGGACGCTCTGCAGTTGAACATTAGTACATTAAATACAAAGCTTTTGGTCATTGGAACAATTACTTATAGCACAGATAAGAAAAAATACCAGGGAGAAGAGGCCTAGATACTTATAAGAAAATTGTGCTAACACCGTTTATACAGTTAGGGAGTAGTCAGCTCCCCAGGTACTTTCCAATGTATTGGACTACCAAATGCAAACTGAGTAGCAAATCTGTTACAGATTTAGATCCGAGCAGGTTTCAACAGCAGGATTTCTGAAACGGTGTCGCATCTGAAATGCCAGAGGTGGGTGATTTCTATGGCGTGTGAGCCTTCTACGTTGACTCTCTTTCTTTGGAGACGTTTATCAGTTCAGAAGAAGGGATGGGACAAAGGGTATACTAGAGTGCACAACTGATTATAGCCTATGTTTGATCTGTCACAATATTGCCACTGCAGCTCCTTGTAAATTGCCATTTGTAGATTATTTATGGACTTACTTAAAGTAAAGCAATTGATACATTTCCTTTACCTTTCTACAGTCATTTTGTTATAGCTCCTTGAGGCAGAAGGAGTAGAGTCTCTTTTCACTAACAGAAAGAGGACCTTTGTATGGCTTATTTTATCTCGTCCCTGCTTTCCGCTAGCTTGCTGGAAAGCTTTATGTTCTCCATGTTTTTCTTACTCTTTTCCTAAACATTTACAGAAATAATTTCTTAACACACAGATGGAGTATCTGTCTTACACATCTATTTGGTTTTGAGATGCATCACAACTTGGTTTCATTAACACCAAGTCATTTCACTGTCAGTGAGACTCTTGGGAGACACTTGGTGTGAGGTAAGGTTGAGGAATCCACTATTAGCAGCTCTCGATAACTTTTGGGCAGCAGCCAAACAAACTATAATCTAATCCTGTTGGGTGATACACAGAGTGTTAATTAATAACCTAGGGCAATCAAGTACAGATAACCGCTTTTATTTAAATAGATCTCTTGTTGTAGTTAACATGGTTATTTTGCAATAATGTAGCAGCTTTTCCAGTAGAGATCTAAATAGTAAGGAATATGTCTCTTAAGTGCTGACAGTGCTGTCACATGAGGTGAAATGTCTATATTTTGAAAGTAAGAAACAGGATTTTGTTTTAAGAGCTACGCTTCAGAAATAAAAGACCCGGGTAGTAAGGTTCTCAGAATGCAAAAATACTGGGTGCCTAGACAAAGTGAAAGAGCTGTTTGGGTGTTATTCTCAGAAGGTGGTAGAATTTTGACCAGATGAAATAAACAAGTAAGAATTATTCGGTCTAAATACTCACGCAGGATCTCTTGCACAGTAACAGGCTCTTTGATTATTGCTGCTCCACTCTCACCAGCCAAGTTTATAGCCTTTATACGGAAATGAAGTTTGTCCCCCGTGACCAGGTCTTTAATCAGTGCAGATGTACGCTCTGTTAGGCCAGGAAGAGCCGGAATCCATTCTGTAGCTGCAAGGACAGGATTTGCGTAATGTAATAATAAATTATGTTTCCAAACCAATGCCTCGTGTACAGTTGGAAGTACTTTTGTGTTAGGGCAAAATAAACTCAACATGCCACACCACACTTAAAAAGGAAGAAACTAGGATGGAAAAAGAACTGACTCTAAAGAACGCCTTTACACATGGAATTAAGGAATGTATATCCTTTTTTATTCAAAACAGATAAGGATAAGGGAATCACCTTTGGGTAGTTCCTACAGCATTCTCTTTTATAGATCTTAAAGCTATGGGGCTTCTCCACATATAATTTCATTAGCAACTGGGGGAAGAGCAGAGAATTTTCAAAGTATTTTTAGCAAGAAAATTAATCCTTAATTTATTTTTTTCTTTAAATAATTGTGTCTCCTGGGGGTGTCCAAACAGATTGGTGAGAGCCACCTAGGCTGAAAACAATAATAAACATAATTGTCAGAATTCATTAACAACTTGTCATTTGACTCTGTGAAGTAGAATTCTTAGGGCTCTGTTAGTCATAAATCAAATGACACAGAAGCACGACTGGTAAAACCATCCTTCTACAATGATGACATAGGGATTCTGGCAATTCTGTGATGGCATCTCATTAACGACTATAAATTGTTTCTGGATCAATTATACTCTAAAACCCTGGTTTAGGGTATATGACAATTGAGCTTAGCTTCAGAAAAAAAAGCTTGTAATTGAAGTGGTTATAAATTTGTCATTTGATTTTTTATGACATAAATATCACATGGTTGCATCACAGTAAATTGACTGTTGTAGATATGGTTGCAGTTATTTCTCTCTACTATCAGACCACTAGTATTAAATGAAGTAAGGTAACAGTTACTCAAAGGTTTGACTGATGTGATACCATCACTTTATTATATTTGTTTTAAGGAATATACAACTTGCTTACACTACGGAAGTATATTATAGAACAGCACTGTGATTTTTTGTAGTACTTTTCTGTATGAAAGGTTATGATGATTGTGAAGATGATGTTATGGTTGATGTGACTTTCACGGTTTTACAGTCATGTTGTGCTGAAGCCTGGTGATGTCTGGCAAGGAGGTTAGTCACAGATTATAGTTAAAATTTAATGATACTGAATACGGTTATTTATTGGAAATTGCAGCCAAGCAATTGTAATTGTAGCACTTACTAATGTTCGGTTGCTGCTGCCTAGCGCTCGTGCTTACTTACATCCATCTTTGCAGTATTCCACAATATAACCATCTAATCCGCCAGCTCCAATCCGCTCTGGTGGTCTCCACTTCAAGGAAACAGTGCTGTCAGAAACATCTTCGACTGTAAAGTGGGTTGGTTCACTTGGAGGAGCTGTAAGGAAATATGTAGAAATAAACTCTGAGAAAAAAGCAATGTAACTGAGAATTCAAGGCTGTAGGAGGAGTGATTAGCAGCTAGTGCTAACCGTTTTAATAAAACAAATTTGCTGAAGTGCAGTTGTAAAATGTAACAGCTAGTACTTCATTTAATAAAAAGTGCAGCATAATATTCCTGTAATAGGCAGGGGAACAAGGGGTTAAGATAGCAGTTCCTATTCACATACGCTACCTTACGACTAAAAGCCGATGAAAAAACAAGAGTTGTGGAGCGTTGAACACACATAAGCTTGCAGAAAAGTTTAGAAAGAAAAATGCATATGATCTGTGTGCTGTACTCACACCCTCACTGTAACCAGACAAATTTCATACAGTCAGGACCAAATTCATCAGTGGTTTAAATTTGACCTCACTCATTTTCCTCTAACAGTGGAGAAAAATCACCAAAAGTTATGACTACGTGCCTACAGAAACATCAGTTCCAATCTGCACATTTGTAACAGAAACATGCCTGAGAAAAATATTTGGAGGTTGAAAAATTTTCACCTAAGTTAGATCGAGTTATTTTGTATCTTTTCCGAACAGTAGCATCACAGCTCTCTTTAAATCCATAGTTCAGAAAGTCCAGTAGCTAAATTCAGTTTTAAGCATGACCATTATCTATGAATTAAAAAAAATGATCCAGGAAAGCCCTTACTGGAGAATCCCAAAGAGACACAAATGCTACTATGAAATCAGCGATTCCAGAAAGCAAACAGAAAGGTAGCTTTTTCAAAATAACATTTAGAGTGCTGGAACATAAAATTTGGTATATATGGAAAAAAAACAATCCTGTATGTTTGGCACATTCTGTGTATCTGTATTGTAAACTGAACATCTTTTGTTCACACATAATAGATTTGACATATTAGAAGTATTTCATACATAAAATAAGTTGCATGCGTGTTTATAAATCATATATCTGGTTGAAATTGATCTTATTTCCCAGTTATTGTAAGGAAAAAAAAAAAAAAAAGAAAAGACCAAAGCAAAAACCACCTTGTTTACTTTCTGTAGCTGTCAAAAATTTTGTTATTCAAATGGCAGCAAGGACTGCAAACAGCACTCAGGAGGCAAAGGCAGTTGGGAGCATACACAACCACACAGTACACCATCAAAACCACAAACCACCTCTCTGAAGCAGTAAGTGTGAACTTCACCCTCAATCAAGTAAAACTCTGCCTATCCCATGAAAACTCTGGACCTTTTTTTTCAGGAGCTCCTTTCGATGATTTTCGTTTGCCCTCTTTTGTTGCAGACGACCAGCCGTTGCATGTTTGAAAACCAGAATTAGGAGACCCTTCTTGCAATTCATCCTTTCCTTCTGATCCTTTCACTGTATCATCTGCTTTTACACTATCACCTTCAAGAGGCTGTCCTCCTTCACTGATATTTGTAGATTCAGCAACCCTAGTCATTTTAGTGCCCAGCTAATTTTATTTTTGCAGGTCTTCTAAATCTCTTAGCCGGCAGGTTTCCTGAGAACTCCTTTAGCTTGTTCCTTCCTAAGGGACTCCAGGAGATACTGCACTACTACGTTGGGAAGGATTATTTATAGAAAATCATTCCTCAAATATTATCTTAATCGGCTATCCTTTTAGCTGTGGAGAGGGCCAGGATTAAGGGAGTACTGGGTGGGAGACTGTGATATGTGCACCCATAAGGGAATGGGAGAAGCTGAGAGGCACAGGGAAATTTCTGTCAATTAGTTCTCCTCCTTTCCAGATCCAGCTTGACTCTCGCACTTCTAATTATAACAACTAAAAATTCATCAGCAATTTCATGAAACTGGAACCTCTGTGCTTCACAGGAAGGGGAAAGAGCAATACAAGGAACATTACAAAGGAAAAGGTTGATTAAATGTAGAATGTAAAGACAGACAATAGCCTCTTTCCTTAAACATTCTTTTTAGATGTAAGGGCAGTGGAAAAGAGGTGAAAATTATCCTGTCTTGGTCTTGTCCTAGAAATGATTCAGTGTGTTAAAACTCACCAATAGGCATGAAGGGCTGCGAGGCAGGGCTTGGTCGGGACATGCCAATAGAATTCACTGCATAAATCCGCATCTCATAAACTACTCCTTCAATCATTCGCTTGGCTTCATAGGTGAGCTCTTTTAAAAGGTCAAAGTTCAGTCTCATCCATCGATAGCTCTTCTTCTTCTTTCTCTCTAAAATATAGCCTGGAAAGGAGAGCTCTTATGATGTGAAAGAACTGCAGATTATCATCTTACATGCAAGAAAAAAGAAAATCACCTTCACCCCCCAAGAGACATAAAAGCCAACTGGCTGTATCATCACTTCTAATGTATGAATTTAGACCTGGCACGCTGTTTCAGCAGCTTTTAAACAGGGCAAACAGCTGTAAGCGAAGAACAAATGGTTCCTTGAACACATCCCTGCTTTTTTATCTTTGCCAGGGTCTGCGAGACGGAGAGAATTGTTTCAGCTACTCAGTTTCTGTTTTTCTGCTATTTTAGATGTGCATACTTAGCTGTCAGAGCCAAGACACTTCTTCACTATGCCATACAAGAACTGCAATATAAAGAGAAGTGTAAAAAGGAGATTAAAAGACAATACCAGCACTGTTGGTGACGTTGGGTAAAGCAGGTTATCTCTCCAAATGGGTGAAGTGTAGGGATATATTCATACTGCTTTAGTCACGTAAATGTACATGTAAATAGTAAGTATCTGTTGGGTATAGGTAATAAAGACTGTAGCAGACTGCCTGCAATGTCAGCTGTAACAATATGAAGGCCGGGAAGAATGCGTAAGAGTTCAGAACAGCACGGTGATGTTCTTCACTGTTTCTGCTCATTTCCTGCTTGACATGACAACTTTGACATCTAATTTTCAGTTTAGATGTTAAGGTGACTAAGATGATTGAAAAGTGTCCTGTGACAGGCAGTGTGTGGTTGTGCAGGACATAGAATTACAAAGTAGTTTTGTAAAAGATGCAAGTATTGCATGAGTACTTGAGATGGCAGATGAAAGGATTTGACGACAAACTGCCTATGGATTTGTTCTAGGATTCCTGGGTAAGTCCAAAGGCCTGTATACTGTCCTAAAAAATTCCATCTTGAAAGAGAATGCTTGGCTTTAACTATTTTTGGTATCGCCATGTGCTTTGGTAACTTACTCACTGAAATATTTTCGATTCAAATACTTCAGGCAGAGGGCACTCTCTACCAGAAGTTTAAGGGACGAATGCTACACCAGTTTGAAGGTTTGCTATGTTTCTTAGTTCCTTAGGGTCAGCCTTCCTAGAGTGAATGAACGGAGATTCCTTCGGTGCCATTTTAAAGGAGCAGAAGAAAAAAAAAAAAAAAAAAAAAAACCAAACGAATACAAGCAAGGCTGCTGGGAATTTGATATTTTAGCACTTCTTACCAAGTACTGGTTGTCCACCGTCGTATTTAGGGGGTTGCCACTGTACAGTACAGTAATCTTCTCCAATGTTACTGATCTTGGGAGCTTCTGGAGGGTCAGGAACATCTAAAGAAAGTGTGAGAATGAGAGTTGTTACTCTTTCAGTTCCTCTATACATGTCAAGGAAATATTTTTCCATAAGCTTTATTCCATATCATATTGATAGAGCTTTGTCAGATGGCAATACCAGGTACAATCAAGACTGCATTATTTTGGTCTAGATGTCTGTGTTAGGTTACTTTTCCTTAAAATACCATAAATTATTCAGCTCCCTTGTTCTTCCCAGATGTAATCAATTTTATGCAAAAATGTAAAGTTACAAGGTGATTTTGTTATGTGAAAAGACGCTTGCTCGAGGGTGTCCTGTTTTCTCTAGAATAAACTTCATATAGAATGCAACAGCTGCACGTCTCACATACTTGTTATTTTGCATACATTTGTATTAAATATCCTGACTTTGGATTTATAAAAGATGAAGAGAGATTGCATTGACCTAAGCAGTGAAATCTACATTTTAATAGCTGACCTTTCATCATATGTGTGGCAGGGTATAAACAAGGTAAATACTATGACAAAAAGCTATTAAAATTAGTGACTTAAAACCATTCAATTTATTTATTTATGGCTTATATAATGTCCTTAAAGAAAAAAAAAAATAAAACAACAACACACAACAAAACAACAAGAAGTTTTTCTTATTTCAGAGAAGCATGGAGCAGAAGCATACACTTCAGAATGAAATGTCATCTATAAAAATGACAGGATCACCTGAAAATATAAACACCTAAGAAGGAAATGGATTTCTTCCTCTGGATTTCTACTGGGAGTTGTTCTCTTACTTTTTCACACAGAACTCAAATACCTGTGAAAAATACTTCTGCTAAATTTTGCAATTGGTAGTATTCCTGCCTTTATGATCCTTTTTGGTTTTTCTGAACCCAAAGTCAGAACTTGCCTCAGTTTGCAAGAAAGGCAAGGTTCAGTGAACTCAAGATGCTTCCAGGCTCCATTTTTTTTCTTCACTTACCAATAACTTTGACTGTGATATCAGCCTTATCTTCTCCCACAGGATTCTTGACTGTAACTCGGTATACTCCCTCATCCTCCTTTTCTGCTCCTTCGATGATGAAGACACAGTGGTCTTCATATGTCTCCACACGAACTCTGCCCTCAGATTCAAACAAAACCTGTGAGCCGTAAAAGTAACCAAGTCATTCTAGGTTGTGGCAGGGACAGCCTGATGAGCCTGTATTTAAGCGGCTGAACATCTTCAAATAACCGAGTATTGTAAAAACTATTGAAAAGCTGTAAAGCTTTTTAAGTTCTATCTGTATGTAGGAGAGAGAAAATATAGACTAAGCAGCTCACATAGACAACATTTGGGAAAATTTGTGCTGCAAGTCTGCAGGTTGTTAAGATTTATTGCTCATTACACACAGTGAGTTAAGTTTCAAAGAAGTTACTCAGTACTTAGCAGCTATCCCAAGTAGGAATTTTTCTAGTATCAACATAAAAAGTTTAATGGATAACAGTTGGCTACCATGTAAATTCAAGGTTTGCAAATTGAAATAGCTGAGCAAACATACCTGATCAACACTATCTACATTTGGCATTATGTGACGTGGATTTATATAATTTCTCTGTAAAAAAACTGACCATGTTTCTTGTCACCATTAGTGGCATCAGAGTAATTTCTGTCACTCACCAATGTTACATGTGGTAACCTTCTACTTTTATCTGAGCCAAGGTCTCAACATAATGACAACTTTGCTGTACATGTATAAAATTCCTTTCTTCTTTATGTGTCCATCCATGTATCTTCAAACTACAAACAGGAATCACTGAAAAGCATATATGCCTGAACAGTCACTAATACAGTGGAATCCTGACCCTGAGAACAGCTTATCATTGTGTATTAAATGTCAAGTACTTTTGAAGCTATTCAAATAGAAGTTATGAGAAAAAGGAAATTTGTGGGAAAATGAATCCTCTTTCAATGTTTTGTACATGCATAGTCCACCCTCTTGGCTCATCATCATCTCCCTCTGTAATCTCTAAGATTTTGTCCTATTTTTTTTTTTTCTCTAGTTATTACTGAGGCTTATAGGTTTGTGGGAGAAAAAAGTGATAAACATTCAAATATATGTTTAAAAGTTTTCATATAATGGCTTTGATCCAGACACCATGTGATGGTGATTAGAAAGATTTCTTCAGTCAGTATCTTAAGATCTAAGATGACTCACCAGATCTCTTGTGCCCATTCAAAGTGTTTTGTAATTACTATTGTAAAGGTAAGAGGTTGGGCCTAATGTGGTATTGTCTTCACCAGTTTTAATATCTACTGACTTCATTTTCTTCCAGATATGCACTTTTATCTGGAAAACACCTGGCATGTTTGTGTCTGCATAAATAGTAAGGAACTTACCTTACTATCAGTATTTAAATCACTGCTGTTTTCTGAGGGAGCGAGGGAATCATCACAGCTTTGCACAAGGTCCTTTTTCTAGATAAGCAAAGTAAGCACAGAAAGTCAACTAAGCTTTTCTGAGCAGAGCAGGAAAGCCACTTCTGCAAGACAGAGAGGTGTTCACAGCTCTGCTGGGGCATTGAATACAGAGGTGTGAGAAAAGCAAAGAGCCAAGTGAGGCAGCAAGCAGACCTGTGAAGGAACTCAACTGATACAAACGTAAGGATGAAATGCAAATAGATGTATCAGACTGCAGTGAGTTAGGGGAAGGGTAAGCCAGTAAAACCGAATTTGTAGCTTAGCAGAGATGCACGATATTCCTGCAGCAGGACTGTAACTGGTTGTGAGTCTATCTGCACCCCATGGTACTAGTTACTCATCTTGTGTAACTACAAAAATAAGGAGTACTTCTTGCTGTATCTATGGGATAGTAATTTGATGTAAAAGTTATAGCATTCAGAAATACAGTCACATCTGTAACACACATCAAACAACGTATCCTGAAGCTGTGCTACAGTTCCTCTAGGATTTCTTTACTAAGTTACCTATGTGTTATACATGTTTCAAATCAAGACTGGCTTCTTTTACTCCTATGGTGAGACCTCACGCTTTAAGAATAACACCCAATAGGGGTTGTCTGATACCCAATCGCCAATTTATCAGAGGGACTTGTGCCTGAGAGAATCCGTGCGTCTTCGTTCCCAAGAGAGAAATGGCTTGTTTGTTTCATTACTAATTCTGCACCGCAGTAGGAAGTCCCAAGTGCTATGAAGAATGCAGTGGAATCATGAAAAAGTGAGCTTGGAGATATTAACATAAAAGGCAGTATTATTCTGTTTATATCTACACCTATTGGAAGCTTAATGATAACGTACAGTACTACACAAATTATTTCTGTGTTTTGTGCTAGTTATAGCTCCAGAGCCCACAGATGGTGATGGGTGGGGATGTTCTGAGAGAGACAGAAAGGAAACTCACTTAACACTTTGTGTCTAGCTTCTCAATTCTTTTTTGATGTTTTGCAATTGCTTTGTTAAGGCAAATAGCAAGCATCCTCAATTTTCATTATACCAAATAGCATTTTACCCCAGTGGTCTTCTAAGAAAACCTTAACTCAGATTGCAGAATTCTTGAGAGAAATGAAGAAAGAAGCTGCCGCCCTCCAGAAACTGTCTATCCTGCCAAGTGAAGGTGACAGGGGTGACTCAGCATTTATTTCTTTTTCTTTGAGGAAGGAGGATTATAAATGTGTATGGTATCCTACTGTCTGCATGTGCCTATGTCTGCTCATATATGCTCAGCCCCTCCTTTTGGAACAGAAAAACAGGCAGTAATTCCGAAAAAAATCAGTTCTGGATGACAGTCACAAAACTAGCTCATCGCCCACAGCTGCATTGCCATTGGAATTTTTTTTTTCTTGACGTTTACAAAAAAAAAAAAAAAAAATTTAAATAAAAGGAAGATGAAATTACTTAGAACTAAGAATTGTAAATAAAAGTTGGATTAGAGAAAGAAAATAGGTTACATGCGGTTGTGATTTTCTTGCCTCAGACACCGTGTCAGGTTACGCATTACCTTGTTTGCTTTCTGCCAGATGACAGTGGGCACTGGATCTCCTGATATGGGAACGTCCAATCTCAGTTTATTCCCAGCCACCACGACAACCGTGTCAGGGGATTGGCCCAGACAGTCAAGGTGGATTTTGGGAGGTTCTGTAGCAAAGGCAAGAGAAAATAATATTAAAATATAGTTTGAGTGTTCGGCATAAAAAAAAAGTGAATATTTATACATTAAATTAAAAAATGCTGTTTCCTTTGCTATAAGTAATGATTGCTGTTCTTACCTTCTCTTGGTACAAAATCAATCTTGACCTCTAGGGGAAAAGAAAAAAAGAAAAAGAAAAATAAGAAGGGGAAGAAAGACAATAGAAGAAATAGATTAGAAAAAAGAATTCACAGAGCATCTGCACTCACAAAGTCTTTTTAAAACTATTTTTCATTAACATCTCGTAAGGCATATACAACAAATTAATGCAATAAACTGGAAAACAGGCTCTGTTAGACAATGAGATCATGAAAACACAAGATAAAATGGCACAGCCGTGTGCCTATATTGTATATCTGTCATTAATAACATCAGTTTAATCCCTTTGGAATTCCTATTGCTTATTGCAAGATAACTTACCCAAAAACTGAAGCTTGGCAGAAAGGTTGTAAGCAAATCCCTGAGGGATGAAGGAATAATCAGCCTCATCATCTGGTGTGACATCCTCAATAGTTAGCTTATGGATTCTGGAAACATCAACAAATACATTCCACTCCCTCACCTCTCCCGGACAAACAGGGCTACCTCGAGAGATGAGGTGCAGGCTACAGGACATGAACATTAATACTCTTAAATTATGACTATTTCTTCTTCCCTTGGCCTAACACCAAGTCAACAACCAGTAGGGCTGCGGATGGTTCTACTTGAAGTATTCCTATCAGCACGTTGCCTACAAATGCACTACTCTTGACAAGGCAGATGCGTAAACCAGTCTGAACGGAGGAAGCAGATCCTCTGCTCCAGGCCAGTCTGTTACCATTACAGGGGCAGTGGTAACACCGCTGACTCATTTCACTTCGTCAAAGTGTGACAACAGTAAATTCTGGAAAAACTACAAAAATGGACACTTCATCCCTGTATTGTTGTAAATTCGAAACAATACAGAAAGTGAGTACCAAGGAAAACTTTACCTAACATATAATGCTTATGTAACCTCTGCATCTTCTCAGTCTCTGTTCCCAAACACAGAGGGCTAGGAAAATTGAGTGCAGAATTGCACAACTATATGTTAACATAAACCCCAATTTTCCTGAAGGGGGTTATACCTAAGTGCTGTCTTAACCTGTTTAAACACTACAGCTCATTGTAAAGTTATCAACAATGCATTTTCTAGATTGTTTGAATACCAGGAAAAAAATGAAATCCTGGTGAAAACCAAGAATGAATTCTGCTGACATACCACTGACGTCACACATGTTAAACATGCCAACGTAGGAAGACGGCACACCCCTACCAAAGCAAATCTGAGGCTTTTACACTGATTTCGTGTGCGAGAGTTTCTGACTTTGTTCTTTTCAGCTGGAGCCAGGACAACGTTTTGTTTTATATTGCTATCCCCCAAGATAATAGTTCCTCAAGACTGCAATGCAATACCCAAGCCTGTACTGTTTTCTGAAAGACGACTAACCTGCCAATATGGGAGATCTTTATCCTTTCATCTGGAACCACCTCCTTTCCATTTTTCAACCAGATTCCTTTCACATTTTCATCGGAAACTTCACACTTGAAGACTGCCTGGTCACGTGCCTTCACTGTCAGGTCTGCGATGCTCTGATAAACTTCCAGCTTCTTCTCTGATATTGTGAGAGTAATTGATACACACATCAACACATCAGAACGGCTCTGTAGGTAAAGAGCTGGTGTAGATCTACAGAGCAGAAGAGGCTAGGGCTGAGCAAGCTGTTTGTGGAAGGTCAAAATATGACGGGAAACCCAGAGCACACAGGGCTTTAACAGGACTGATAGCTAAGCGTTTGTTACTATCAGGGCATCTGTTACATCCAGCACACAGGTCTGAGTTCTCCTTGAGGCCTTTATTATCTAACCTTACACTTCTTACTAAGACTCCTTAGCGGTACCCCTATTCACTATCCTGGAGAAAGTTACCTTCAGCCTGTTCTCATTTTTCAGTTTCCCTAGTTCTGTAATATCACCCGTGCCTACCTTGTACAATTAGTTCAGCAACAGACACCCCACCATTGGTCTTCACAGTGTAGTGTCCACTATCCTCCTTGGTTGACTCATTAATAATTAGATACTGCTTTTTTCCATCTTTCTTGAATCGGTATTTAAACGTTTCCTCCCGTGTCAGCTCAATTCCATCCTTTTCCCTGTAATGCCAAATGATGTTAAGTCATTTTCCTATACCTGAGAGAGTAAGGGTCATCTCAGTGTTACTATAGACTAGAAGACACAAGATCGATCCAATCTCTGTAGCATTTCAAGTTAGCTAAGACAGTTGTGCGCTAGTGGAACCTAAACCAGAATGCCTCTAGCCTGACCTTTAATTTACACTAATTATCCGACTTCTAGTGTAAGAGAATTGACTCACAATGAATTATTTTGGTTTTTACTACTTATATGTTGTAGATAAACATGAAAGATATGTTAAATGCTGTATAAATGTTGTAATTGCACAAAATCACAAAACGATAGGGGTTGGAAGGGCTGGGTTTAGGCCCATGCCAGCCAGCACTGAACCCGCCGCTGCCAGTCACCCACCCTTAGCCCTCCCCGGTGGGGTGAGGAAGAGAAAACGGCAAAAACCTCGAGGGTGCCGACACAGGCCAAGGAGAGGCAGCCACCGGTTCTGGCCTCGGGCAAAGGACACGCCGGGCTTGTCGAAACCACATCAGTTGAGTTTAAACACCACCACCAATTTACCAATTTTATCAGGGTAGGGAGATAAGAAATTAAAACCAAAACACCTCCCCCCTACCCTTCCCTTCTTCCCGGGCTTAACTTCGCAGGGGCACAGCGGCCGCGGCCTCCCCAGCACGCTGCGGGTGCCGCTCCTTCCGCCTCAGGAGAAGGACGCCCCCGCTCCTCACCTGTGCCACCGCGCGCTCCCGCCCACAGGAGACAGCCCTCCAAGAACGTCTCCCCGCGAGTCCTTCACACGGCTCTTCACGGAGCAAGGTCCCCGGACCGGCGAGGGCTCGCCCCGAGTCGCGGGCCTCTCCCAGAATCAAGCCCCCTCCCTCCCCCAGAGTCAAGCCCCTCGCCCTAGTCAGGGCTCCCCCCTCACAGTCAGGAACCCCCTCCCTCAGAGTCGCGGCCTTCTTCGGGCAGAGCCGCCTGCCCGGCCGGGAGAGGAGTAGCTCCGGAGTGCCTCCCCCCGCCTTCTCCACAGGTCTCCCCACGTTGTCTCGTCTCCCGTCCTGCTCTTCTCCAAAACAAAAGAACCGCCAAAACAAATGAACCCGCCCCACCCCTTCTCCCCCTCGTAAACCGCCTGGGGCGGAGGCGCCGATTGACCTGGTCGCGGCCCTAGCCGCCTTCTCGAAGCTTCACAGGAGCCCGGGAGCGACCTGCCGCTGGGCTACTGAAACCTTGCCAGGTACAAGCCCAGAGGAAGAAGGTTCAGGGCTGAGGACACATTTCACCTGTGGGGAATCTGCCTTCTTCAAAGCTACCAAGAGGTAAATAGGATTTGCTGGGTAATGACTTCAAAGTTCTAGCTTTTCTGATGTGAATTGTAGTTGTTGTAACTTCACAGTGCGTGGATATCAGTAAAAGAAGAAAATTTTAGGGTGGAATATAATGAAGATGTGTTTTGGAACCCTTTCCGTTCAAGGATGCCACGGTGTATTTTAAGATGTTACTAAATTTAGCTTCACCGTCTAGCCTGGGGGGAATGCGATTATTGTTCATTTCCAATCGCTATCAAGCGAAAAGAGCAGAGAGGATGCATGTTGTTTAGAAGAGGTCACGCAAAAATACACAGGACTTTTTAAAGATTTCCTGTCGCTCATTCTGAGTAATGTAAATAGACTGCAAGAAAATAACTTGGAATTTCTTTGACTTACTCCTTTTGTAGCTTTTTCTATTTTTGTTATTTGAATAGATTTATATTATGTTACTTGAAAACTGCTGTAGTTTGTAAGTGAACACGGTTTTTGTTACTTCCTCACGTAGAAGGAAAAAAATAGAAAAGATGTTATTTTTAAGAGAGAAAGAATTTTCTTTCTACCTTGTGTAGTTTGTTATCAGGGGCTATTCAGCTTTAACATCTGAGTTTACAGACTAGCCAATTGAAATTATACTTAGACTCTCATTTGAATACTATAGCTCTAATCTCTTGGTAGATGTATGCAGCAAAACCTTATGCCTCTCTGAGTCCGCTGAAGTAAATCACAAGATCAAACCCTTAAAACAGAGACAGGAATCCTGCAATTTGTGACATGGCTCCGCTTGCTGCAACTGTGTTTCAAAATCCCTACGGGTTGCTTTCTCTTATCTGTGTTCTTTAGAGCACAGCTTCTTGGAATTTATAGTTGCTTTAGGAAAACGCTCCCCTGTCTTCCAGGTCTCAGGACTGCAGCACTGCTAAGGGTCCTCCCTCTGCTTGCTGAGTGGCAAAGTTTGAGGCCATGTGTGAGATGCTCTTCTAAGATGTCTCTTTCTCATTGTGTGAAGAGGTTCTGGGAAAAGTGCTACAGTGCAAGGCATAAACCTTTACTGAATTGCTGGGAATGGGCTCTAATCCACAAGTTCAGTGCGCTACTGTGGCAAAACCAGGCACGTGTGCTGTCGCTAGGGCTCCAAAGCAGAATATTTTACTTTGTTTTTTTTGGTTGTGTATACCTGAATGTTCCGTTCAGCCATTGGTAAGAAAGAGCTCTTGGAGTCTTGTCTAAATAATGCAAATGGTTTATTTGCAGTGACTAGTATCTTAAATGCCTGGGAAATCAATAGCGTATCTAACTTGTTTTGGTTTTAGTGAGTGGCACAGCACAGATACTATGCATGAGTAAAGTGTTTGCAGGGGGGTGCACTGACAAATGGTGGAATGATAAAACTGTAAACCACAAAAAAGATCTCTGAGATATCATCTGGCTTAAAATAATACACTGCTGCAGTGAAAAGTGAAAAACCTCAACTGAGTCAATGTTACAGGCCCTCCCTTCGGAAACTAGAGCAATAAAGTATTAAATAAGTTGGTATTAAAGAGTAAGTGGAGGATTTTACAGAACCATAGAAGTGGTGGTTTAAGTCCACTATAGGTCATGTGTTGCAGCCTCACACTTGAAGCAGAACTACTGCAATAATAGGTAGGTCAGCTATGGTTTAGTCTATTCAAGTCCTGAACATCTGCAGGATCAGGTATTTCTTCTCAGCTTTACCACTCTGTGTCTCTTTTCTCTGTTTGGAAATGCTTTCCTGTTTTCCAGTCAGAATGTAAGGATGAAGTCGTTAATGTTTTCTGAGAGATCACTGGTGTAGGTACTGTGTGATAATGGGGGGACACAGGTTTATATTTTTTTTATTATTATTACATTGATATAGTTTGTTATAATTTGGAGCTGGTAAGATGATACATCCAGCATTCAGAGATGGAAAAATCAGGTCAAAACTATTTATTTTATTCGATTTTTTTTCTTCAAGAATGGTATTATTTTCAAGGCCATCTGAAGTTTAGCAATAACTACTCCATAGTACTGCATAATAATATAATAATGTGACACCTTTCTGGGTGATCAAGAGAACATTCTTTTCTGGTGACTATGAAGAGCTGCACTAATGAACTCTCCCAGCCCTGGTCCGATGGCTGTGCATGGAAGGCTGTGAGTGTTATTTCTGTCCTGTAAAAGTCACGTAAGTGCTTTTGTTCATGTGCTTGTGATTTCGTATCACAGGTTTAAAGGGCACAATAGCTATAACAGGTGCCCTGACTCAGTGCCTGTTACTTGGCTTGAACTGTTGGGCATTTCCCTAATGAGCCATAAAACTGGAACTCTTTCTTCATACAGTGCTCCATGTTTTCCCTGGAGGTTTCTCTCCATTGTCCAAAAGGTTCCCTTTGTTGCCAAAAAGCATTGTCCGATTCTCACATAATGAAACTAGTTAAGTACTGTGTCAAAGTCTCACTGCTCATTTTTGTGTCACCGTGGTTTGAAGAGTTTCTCTGACCACTTGCTGCATTTTGGGCTGAGGCAGCTGCTGATTTGCCCTTGTCACACCAAATGCCCAACCCACAGACCGTGTCTGTGCACGGTGTATGGGAGTTGTTCAAAGGCGTGGAATCAAAGGGTGGCAGCTGCATGGATCTGAGGGGGGACAGATCTGTTTGTCTCCATCTCCTCTGACCAGGCTTTGTAAGCAGTTCCTGAACAATAGCATGTGTGGCTTTAACGGTTTAGTGCATGTGCTCTTCTAGCTCTCGGGCTCTATTTAAATCCTCAGTTCCTTCCTTTGGGAGAGCAGATGAGCAGCTGGCACTTTCCAGGAATGTAATGGGCATCATGGGAACAGTTGATAACAGTCTGCCTGAAGCTGTTAACAAGCACAAGAGAATTTCATCTGGTAGAGAAATGAAGTGAGAACAGTGTGCGTAAGACCTGGTATGTGAGCACTGCCCGCTGCAACTGCCCAAGCAGCGTGCACCTTCCAGCTTCCACTCAACTGGAATGCCTGACAAAATGGGCTCTCTGGTCTCAGTGCTAGTCACCGTAATCCCGCTGGCTGCATTGTGCATAATGACCAGATTAGTAGCATCACCACAACAGATATGTTAAAATGAGTCGATGACCTTCCCTCACTGTGTCTGGAGACAGACTAACTTCTCACCTAAGAAAAAAATTACTTTAAAAAGCATGCTCATAGCAGCTGAGAAGACCAGAAGATTCCATAAAGCACAGCAAACTCATCACAATACAGTTCTGATTAGTTGGGGCAGTAGTTAGACCGTACTGTCAAATGCTTATAAAACTTTAAAGCTAAGAGCTCAATACAGTCAGTAGCAACCTGTAAACACTGAAAAAGAAGTACTAGAGACACTTTAAAATATTTATACGTAATTAGTTTTCTGTCATTTTCTGCCCTCTCAGTGTTTGGCATACAGGAGGAAAATCAGTCTTTCCCTGAAAACAATTATGTAGGATGCCATCTTCCTTTTTATTTCGCAACTCTTGTCCACCAACAAAGTCCTGTGACTTTCTAGATATGGGTATAGGTATCTATCTATCTAATAATATATATCCCTAATATAGATTAGGGATATGGTTTCATGCATTTCTGTTTGGTGATTTGTTTGTTTGTGTTTGTTATTGTTTCCGGACACCCCCCCCCCTTTTCTGTTCCCTTACCATTTCACAGTAGCTCCTTCCTCAGACACTTCACAGTCGAACTCGACTCTCTGTCCAACCATCACCATCTGATCCTCCAGAGGACGAGTGATTAGAATTGGAGGTTCTGGAAATTATGAAGCTTTTATTAAAACAGTTTTCTGAAAGACTGAAAAGCAGAGGCAGATTTCACCAGCCCACTCTGCACTCCCTTGGAAGAACCCCATACCAAATACATGGTTATGCTCTCTGTGCTGGAACTTAACATTTACTATCCTGGATCAGCAGCGCTATCAAATGACCTTTTGGTTTTTACTTCACAAGACGGAATACAAACACAGGATTAATCAGTTTTCATATATGTCCTGTAATTCTAAACTGGAGGCGTTAGTTTTCTGTACTACTTGATATGCTTGTAGAGCTTAAGGCACTTGTGTGTCTAGAGCAGAATTAAATTTTTAAGGTAAGTTGGGAACATGTAAATCACTTTCCAGATGAGAATTAATGGTAATTATTTTTGTGCTGTTTTTGTAGTTGCTGCTATATGGAAAAATTTCATTCACTAAACTGTAAGAAAACTACCTACTTCAGCAGATGTCAGAATTTGTCCATGTGTTTGAGAATTGCCTTTCCGATGATGTTAACTAATCTGAGAGTAGAGGAAGCGACAGTAATTCAATGCTGAATGTTAAGGAAGATCTCTTGCCTTTTGCTGCCATTGCTCACCTTTTACAAATAATTCCGTGAAGCTTTTCTCCTCTCCTACCACACATTCGTATGCTGCATCATCGGCCAGAGAGCAGTGGTTTATGGTCAGTATTCTTTTATTCCCAATAGCCTCAAAAATATATCTGAAAGGAGAATTGAAATGTAATTATCAGAGAGTAACTGTTTGGGCCTAGTCACTATCCTTCCTTGCTTGTCAGACAAAAAGATTCCTCCATTTTTTCTGACATCAGTGTCAAGGTTTGTTAAGACTCAGGCCCTATATCCCTGTCTCAGTGACAGCAGTACTGTTTGAAACTAGCATAGGAAATGGTGTAGAATTCTTCATACAGGTGTGAGGTACAAACTGAATGGTGTTAGATGCTTTTCTAATATCAAGCCATAAAACAAACCTGACTACCATTAAAAATGCCCTGTCATGGCTTCAGCACAATATCACTGGAAACTGGTTTTACAAATAAGCTACAGTGAAGTATATCCCATATCACAAGAAAGTAATTTTGAACACTGGGTATAGACATAAAGATCAGAATATAACATGAGGACTTACTTGCTGAGTAGGTAGGTGTAAGCGTCCGGTTCCATATGTAGATGTATAGAGCAGATGGAAGAAGAAGAAAGTAATGAGAACAGCAGACTGACCAGCTAAAGCACTATGTAGATTCTTTCTGAGCTTAAATCTCCCTATTTTCATAAAATCATAGAATAATTTGCATGGGAAAAGACCTTTAAAATCCTTAAGTCCAACCGTTAACTCTTTTCTTTCTTAGAAAAGCTATTTTCCCCACTTTGTTCAAGCTGTAGCAAATTCCTTTTTGGCTATCTCGTATTTCTAGTTTACCTGCCGCTCACTTGGATCTCCTGTCCATTCTTCAGCCATTTCACATCAGCATCTGGATTGACAACTTCCACCATTAATTTGATCTTTTGTCCTTTGTCCACTTGGTAAGCTGGATCCAGTTTCTTGAGGAATGCTTATGATGAATAATAATTCAAAAACAAAACAAAACCCACCTTAATAATTTTGATACTTAACTCCATTTAAAAAAAAAAAGCAAACCAAAAAAAAATCTTTATTCCCTTTCCTGTTTTTTTTTTACCGTTATGTTAAACCTTTTCCACCTACTGCATCCCTGTTTGAATTTTGATATTTCTATCTGTTCTTCATCCTGTTTTGTTTTCTGCTACTCAATACCTAACATTGGATGAAAAGCAGGTCATACAAACTAAAATAAATAAAGCAGAATATTCTAAATTAGATGTGACTATACACTTCACCACATTCTAAATAAAGTTATGGCTACATCTGCCCATGCAGGAAAATAGTACTGATCTTCTCGATACTAATGAATGGCAGCTTGCCTTCTCACTTTCAGACTTTTAAAAGGAATTAATTAAAATTAGGTGATTAATACTTCACAGGACAAGAAAAGTTTCAAGAATTCCAGGTGTACCATCCAAATGGAAGTGAAATTATTTAAATGTATAACCGATATCTGACATACTGACCAGTTTTTGGGGAGGGTGGTGGCGGTGTTTTATATCTGGGGAAAGATAAAGGGCAGAGCAGGAGAAACTAGTAAAATGAATAGGTTAGGAATATTCAGAGCAAAGTAGCTCGGAGCTTTGGGCATGACTTGAACCTTTGGTAACCAGCATTTCACAGGTAAAGGTTGTGTAACAGTTGGAATATGGAGCTCTTGTTTCTCAGGCACTCCTGTCTGGCTGCTGTCCAGCTCATGTTTAGATCTGAAGACCTCACAGAAAAGATATGGACACATACATGTGGACTCAATAGAGTTCACCAACCTGTACTTTTTTTCTCTTCCTTCTTTATACGTTTGAGGCGTTTCAGCATCCCGCGCAAATCTGTGATACCATACTGAAAAGCAATTTTCTCATATTCAGAAGGAGGAGCTTTCCTCAGGATTTCCCACACATCAGCTTCAGATTGCGATTCGGATTTTGCTTCACCTCTGCAGAAGGGGATTAGATTATCTGAATGCCGCTATGGAGAGGATTTAAAAAGAGCCATAGGCCTGGCAAGCTGCACTGATGAAGCAGTTGGCACTCTAAATGTTGCTGTATTATTGCCTAAAATAATGACATAAAACTGATGACTAGTTTTAATTCTATTTATATATACATTGATTAAAATCCAGTCACTGTCCTGGAGGATTTACTTTCTAATAACCAAAGCAATTAAATATTAACTTCCATTTAACAACGTGTACTGGAAGCACAAGGCTTATTTTCTAGTGATTGTCATACACAAAACATATGGCAAAGCAAGGAACCACACTGATATCCTGAGAATACATTGGAAACAAGACAGTTGGCTTATGTTAATAAGAAACAAGCCCCTTTCTACTCAGGACGCGTCTTCACTAAAATGGATTGGAGATGATTAAAATAATTTTTATCTATTGTAAAGACAATTGTTGGTTCTAATAATTCATTAATAATAAAGGTAAGTAGACTAGTGAGTAGCAGTAAACACAACAATATTTACAATGAACTTCTAGCTTTATAGTTTAACCAAAGAACTAGTGAGTATGGAAGAATGAATGTCTAGTTTAGCAAAACCCATTGAAAATTTGGTTGTCTGGCTTTCAGAAAGACTTTCTTATTCTGTCGTCATATTTTCTATTTAAAAGATCATAAACAGAAAAAGAAATTGGTGTAGCCTTACCGATTTACGGAGCGCAGGAAGCTGCTGTACTCCAGAACGACACAGAGAACCGGTTGGAAAAATGGTAGCAAGGTGGGCAAGAAAGAGGGCATCGTGTTAAAACAGAAGAGCCATGAATGCCATCTTCAGTCTTGGCAGACCAAGCTTGTGCTTCGGTAGCAGGGAGATAAAGGAGCTCATGCAAAAGCTCTGAAACAGGCTTAAGAAAAAAGCTGTTGCCTGTTGAAACCAAACTCACTCCCAAGCTTTGTTTAGTTCTCTGTCATTGCTATTACAAGCGCAGGCACTTCTGCTTATTCCCAGTTATGGCTGATGGCCTTACAGGGAAGCAAATAGCTCTACTTTGCTCTGTTGTCCTGGAGTTGTTGCCTGTCATAGTTTGCATTTTGATAAACAGAGAAAGAAGGAAAGAAGTAACATTTTCTTAAAAATGTCTTTAGGAAAAGAAACTTCCCTGTGGCTGTTGTTTCTGACATTACCAGAACCAAACACAGTCCAGTGCAGCAGAGCACATGCTTACTATGAAACCATGTTTTGTGGTGAACCCCAACAAGAAGACAAGTAATGCAGGAGGTAATACAGAGTAAAGTGGAGGATTATCAGGAATATTTCCCTTTTTTTTTTTTTTTTTTTTTCAGGAAAAGAACAGCCCCTTTAGTCTGTGAGAAATACTACTACTTAAAAAAGCATGACTGTAGGCAGACTAGGCAGCAGGTATAACTAAACATTTCTGATACTCCTTTTATTGCCCCAAAAAGGCTTGCTTGTAATGAGGATGCCGTGTTTATTAAAGCACTGCTGTCCAGGCTTGGCACTTCCAGCACCCTTGTAGCTCTTGAACAGAAAGGAAGCAAGAGAAGAGAATTTTGGCTCAGTGAGTTTGAGCTCAAATATGGCATGCCGTACCTTATATCTTCAGAGGGGTTTTGCCCCTCACAAAGCCCTCGCTAGCACTCAGTGGGTTGATAGGTGTATCTGAGTTTTGACTCCTTGTGATAAGTGCAGCCTACTGAGTGTTTGCTTTGTCCTAACAGTGCATTCATGTCATCCATGAATTTAATCCAGATTCCTCTTCTCTAGATATCTAATTTGGGACAGTAACCAATGGCTTGCAGTTTTGCCCAGCTGAAGGCAGGACAATTGAACTGATTTGAGAAATAGACCCAGATTATTTGTTTTTTTTTAATTGAACATAAGCAGTTCTTGGGTTAGTTGCCCTGATAATATCAATGAGCAACTTTAAAATATTTCTAAATGTATATAAATGGGAATAGATACATAAGTACATAAAACTAGGAATATAAAATATTTCTAATGTGTGCTGAGGTCTTTGTACTAGTACAATTAATGTTCTGTGGAACAAGAAGGTAAAGTCATAGGAAATAAGAAATACTGAGGAGATTTAAATGCTATTATTTCCTGTCAGGTATTACATAAATATTGGTGGTCTCTCTGTCTACCTGTCTATTTATATGCTAGCTGTATGCAGCTCTCTACATGAAAATTTGCACACAGGATTATTCACAGGGGTTTCAAAAATACTCTGTGAGAGTTATTTTTAACTATATAATGAGAAAAATCTTCCACTTTGAATGCATTTCAAGTATTTGAAGCAACGGTCAGTCTATTATACCTCACTATTGAGAAGACTTCCTGAATATTTGTTTTTGTTTTTGCATTACTCAGTGTCGTCCCAGTGTCATATCTGGTAATACTGTTTTTGTGCAGGCAAGATGAAATATAAGAAATTTGATTATAAGCAAGAGTGGAGTCTCTTCCTTGGAAATATGAATATTTTCGAATTCCAGGGAAAGACATTTAAGTTGCATGTGAAATGGTACTAAAAGCTAAAGGTTGTAACTTGTATAGTGTTTAATGGAGTTCTGATAAAGAAAAGAAAAAGATGTCTTCCTCTGCCTCTGAGCAATACTGCCAGTGCTGCTTTTCACTGTTCTGTGTTTGTGAATCATTCTCTTTGATTCCGTAAAGACACAGTTTCCCCAGCTAGACTGTACTCTTCCACTGCCAGAAGGAACTAAACAGTGTGAGAGGTGTTAGACAGCACTTGAACTCCTGACATTTCTCCCACCTGTATCTTACTGCCCCTGATGTCTGGGATCCTTATGCAGAGTGATCACCTCATAGGTTAAATATGTGCTCAAGGGCATTAGGATGGAGCTTAGTCAATCTGCTGTAAGTGGAATATGCAGCTGATATGTTTTAAACATATGGGGAGGGGTTAAAAATAGTTTTGTACATCCCAGAGATGGTTCCTTCCTATCCCATTACTGTCGACTGTTTGGACCCTGTCAGCTGTCACTTACTCCAAGGTCTCTGCTCTCTGTCCCATTTAATTGCTCTGTGACAGCTGTTCCCTTCCTCTTCCAGTGACCTCTCCTTGGCCCATGACATCTGTATGTCAACACTACTTAATTAAATTACAGCAATAGGAGATACAGTATTAAATGAGGCTCTCTTTATTATAGTGGGAATGTTCATTACTTCTGGATTGAGGGGCACTTGTAAATTAGATGGGAGAAAGCAGAAGTGGTAAAAGAATAATCGTCGGTTCTCTTGGAATCTGCGTAGCTCCTTAGAGTCCCTCAGCATGAGCTCCCTTTCCCTGATTTGTTTGAATGAATATTTCATTCCATGATGAGTTTCTATGCCTATCAGTTCTTGTTAATGTAGGAGTGGTCTGCAACCTGTGGCGTGCAATACCTGAACAATGCACAAATTACTTGTGAAGAGGCTGTGAAAAACAGTAAATTTAGTGGTATGAAATTATCAGCATGCTTAAAGTCACTAAACAGAGACTTTTAGGTCAAGAAAGGTCAAAAACACTGGTAAAACACAGTGACATATATAAGCTTCTTTTAATGAATTGTATTCAGTAGAGAAATATATTGATTTGTGTTAAATGGTCCACCCTTCACTTCTACTAACTGTTTAAAAGCATTTCTGTGTCAGAAATGGGCGGGCGATAATTTTCTTTTGTACTGCCTGATTTTTGTCATGCTCTACACGTAAGAAAGTTAAAGATGCATGCACTTGTTCAAAACAAATGGTTCCCAGATTCAGTCGGACCCATGCGTTTATAATAAAATGAAACAGAAATCTTACTCTCTGTTGGCGACAGTGGAATCCAAAACATCCAGATTAAGATGGTGGTAAAAGGACAGAAACATAAGTAGGCAGGTTATATTTTACAGACAGAAAACAGGGATGGCAAGGAAGGATGAGAATGGGAGAGGAAATTCCACCAAAAAAAAAAAAGTGAAAGTAAAGGCAAGAAATAAGAATTACCATGGGGAGAGGAAAACATATTTTTGATATTTATAAAATATAGGACATCTTTTTTAAATGTATAATAGACAGCTACATAATATATATAGTTTGGTGGTATAATAGTAACATTTAGAGATCTGATCAAAAAGCTTGTCCTCTCAGCTCTTTGATGTGAAGTATTGGGAAAGCTTAGGACTGAAAATTCCTAATAAGGTGGCATTATGGACCGACGGTGTCAACTGCTGCTGTGGGGATTTTGTTTGTTTTTTTAAAAATGAAAAGTGCTAGTGGAAGCATGTTGTTACCCCAGTCCCACCCTTTTTTTATGGGTAAGACCAATATTTTTTTTTTTTTTTTCAGTATAAACCTAGCAAAAATACAGCAAATGCTGGACATTTAGGGAAACTGACATAATTACCTATCATCCTTTTTCCAGTTACAGCTGCTTTAGGGAAACTACAAGGATTCCGACTGTATGAAACTTGCACTTACTCGAGATTTATGGTTTTCAGAGTTGTTCAAGAGAAGCTGTTTACTTTATTTCTCTCAATCTATGGATTTTTACTCACCTCTTTTTCAGTAGAGCACTAAAATTAAACTCTCCACCTTCTTCATGTCCCTCAGTACTGCACAGTAACAGAAAAACATAATTAGTTTCAAAAGGAAATGAGAATAGCTTGTGAGACTGTACCGTTTTGTAGGTGATAGGGTTTTGTAGGCAGTAGTAGGTGGGTTTAAAATAACTTAGAAATTGCACTGACATGGAAGGTGGATTATTTAGGCTCTTTGTCCGTATTGGTCTTCATGTAGACTTACAAAATAGATCTAATGAACCTGTATTTTATCTGTACTGATTACAGATACAGTTGCACAGGGTGTTAATTTGGTGGTCATACGGACCTGGAATGTATCCATTATCCTAGAGATGTTGCAGAAACTCTCCTTCAGAATCATCAGTGCTTTTGCCAAGCTGTGGCTTCAGCAATGTGGATGCTGTTTATGGTGTGGGGCAGTATTTAACCAGCCTTTTTGTGGGACTTCTCATGATCTAAAACCACCTTTTTTTTTTTTTCCCCCTAGCATTATCCCAGCTGTAACTGTTTCTTAAACCTCTTTGAGATTCCTGAATTCATTATACTGAAAAAAGTATCACGTTGTTGGTGCTTGGGAGAACTGAAGGAGGAATTCTGTGATCTGACTTGGACTCTGAGGTGAGGTTCAATATGCAATTGTTCAACAAGCATCATGGCAAGCGATATGTTGAACGAATTTGTGAAGACAGGAAGCAACAAGCAGGATTTTTTTTATGTGTCAGTGTCTGTTACAGATGGTGAACTCAGATGGTCTGCACAGGGTTGTTTTTGGCTTTCTGAATCAAATGTGTTTTAGCTGTGCTTCTGAGCATTTGAAGTAGAGATCTACTCTGAAAACTTGGCATAAAATCACTAAAATCACTGCTTTGACTTTAGTTTCTAAAAATCGCTTCAGAGGTTTTAGAAGTATTGGAAGTTACACTGGATTTCATGACTATGGATTATTCAACATAGAAAAAAAAAAAAAAGATATTTTTTTGCATTCAGGCAGAGTTTAGGAAAGCAGAATAGATGTTCTTCATCTCAGTCAGTTTCCTGACTGCTAAACTTCTTGTGCTGCTCCAGAATGCAAGATTAGTGAGAATAATTAACAATTCTTAATCAGCATTTGAATATGTTGTGCATTCTTTTTATTAAGAGTGTGCCATTTGTACTTCTGTCATTATTTTCAAGGTAAGATAATTTTCTGGGTATCATGCTAAAACAGAAAAGTGGATTTTTAGCCACTTCATTGCCAACTTTCAAAAGGTTTCCAGTGCCTGCAGGCATCAAATGTACATAAAAATCACTAGTATCATGCCAAATTTTAAATGGGCTTCTTGTGATCAAACGTTCAGGAGCTCAGAATCTGCAGCTGGGGGAGTAACTAGTCACCTTATTGCTTGCAATTAAATTGGTTTTTCAGGAAAGCCCAGCAATCAGCATTTAGCTTTTCTGGAGAATAAGGCCATAATAATCACCTTAACATGCATGGAGTTAAGTTTAATGTCAGAGGTCCAATTTTTGTTATGGTAGAAGACACTGGGTCCAAAAGGGATAGGGCGGGAAATTTAAAGATACGGGGATGAAGAATGTGCCAGGAAACAACAGATATTCGTGTGTGTGTGTGTTGGTACCTTTCTGTGAGCAGTGGCAAATTTAGTTAGGATTTGCTCAGCAGTAAGGAAAACATGTAGAACAGAGGGGGCGAACATGCATTTAATTTGAAGTTACTCTTTTTCTTCTAACAGTGAGAATATGCCATACACATGCCTTCCCTGTGGATTAATCTGCCTCTTAATTACCAACAAACTATTCATTATTTATACTCGCATTACTACTCATTTGTATTTATTCATCACATATAAATACTAAATACTATAAACAATTATTTATTTGGAATTCAAGCTGCAGCTAGTTCTGCAGGTTTTTTTCTTTTTCTTCCTTCCTTCCTTTCTTTTCCTAAGCAGAGAGAGACAGTTAGTTGTTAGACTCGAATTTCTCCACTGACAGACAGTGGCTACCTGAGAAAGGCTGAAGTCATCCGTCTCCCCCCTCCTGCCAGGCTCCTGAGTGAGGGTATCAAAGACAAAGCTTCAGATTTACACAGTTCAGTTCAAAGTTTGGCTCCATTCTTACAGAAGAAACCAAAAATCTGAACAGCCTTAAGCTGCTCACACTGCGCTCGCTCTGAATCGATTCTAAATTCTGTTAATTGTGCTAGCGAGAAGAGAAACTCTTAAAGTCCACTTTCACTGCAGGGAAACAACACAATGCACCTATGCACTGAATGCCTGTGATTTAATGGGCATGACAGTAAGGCTGGTCAGCTACCTGTAGATGGATTTGGATGTAGATAAGATCTGCAAGCCTTTTTTAGTTCTTTGTCATGGAATGTTAAAAAATACCTTATATAGGAGTAAGATTTATAAGGAAAAAACTTGGGGAGTTGCCACAGGTGATTTGTGTCCTATGTTAGAGAAACAGGTGTATGTTGGAAGAGTCTTGGTGTGGTACCTTTGCAAAAATATCTAAAAACTAAACCAGAATCTGAATTATACAAAGGGATAAGAAATTCTCCACAGTGAAAAAACACATTGTCTAGACGAGAGAAAAAAATCCCAACCAATTTTGGATTTATATCTTGTCCAAGGGAACAATATTCCATTACTTGATCTATCAGTTCAGCTGGTATTACTGACTGAGGGACAACAGCCTGTTCAACATTACTGCAATACCTCACAGCCTTTAATGTTGAAGACCTACACATATCAGAGTTTTTACAGAGATACTCATGGCATCATTGCTTTCATTCAATTAGTGTAATTCTAGAATATGAAAACAAATACAATCAAAATACTTACATTGATGTTACCAGTGTTATGCTGCCTACAGAGCTGACATCAAGCTCCACTTCTTTAGCAAATATTTGTGTTAAAGTATGTGTAGCTCCTCAAACCAGACTAAATCAAAGACTAGGCACTGCACAGAATCTTTGCCTTCTCTATTGCTCTGCATCTGGAGTGCTCTTTATGCATCTGGACAAAAGTGGTGAATTTGTTGGTAGATAGAGATTATCAATTGCATAACTGAAGACAAGCATGGTTGTTATACTAGTACAGTCTAACATTTCTAGGTTGTATAGTATTTTAATGGCAGAAATATGTTCTTAGTAGAAATATTTTCCTAGTAGACATTCCTACCTTTGTGCTTGTTTGTACAAACACTTTACTTTTAGTTAGTTTTGACTAGGAAAATAACAAATTCTGCATGGAATTACCATCTGATCTACGTAAGTTCCTACTGTACATACTCACGTGCGTCGGAAGGCAGCACGAATATCTAAGTCTGCAGTTGCTGGTGCTTCTGATGTGACAAAAAGTGACAAACGAGAATGGAAGAGCAAGTCAAAATCATTAAAAAATAGTGATACTTTTAAAGCTTTTCCTATGCAGACTTTTTTTTCCCTAAAGTTCTTACATTCCAAACTATGATTAATTAAACACTGAAAGATGGAAGCATTATCTTTAAACATCCAGCCTCCCCTAATTAAGCCTTTCAACATCCAGTATTTTGTGTATAACTGAATTTTGTCTTGTGCTTCACAATAACATGCAGCATGATGAACTGTCTTGCCTCTTGTTGGTTCTCTTGCTGGTAAATTTTAGTTTCAATACTGGCTTCACAGGTTATTTAAACCCTAAACAGAAAACCACTGGATATCAAGTGAAATCACTACTACTAATGAACTCTAATCCATACGCTGACAGCAGAGGTGGATTCTTGGAAATACGTAGAGATGTACCAAAACCCCACCAAGGATATAGCAGACAGAACATTACTACTCTGTTCTGAGCTTCTGTTGATACAAATAGGTATAAAAATTGTTCTAAATCACAGCCTCTAAGTCTTATGAGTCCTACAGCCAAATAATAAAACTTCAGAAATGAAGTTTCACTGCTAACAGGATAAATTTAATAAACGTCTGTCCTTGCATGTTAGCCTCATGGGTTGCTGATTAATATTGCAGTTGCTTCAACAGAACCACTGAAGTGGGAAATGGTCCAGTCATTCTGCTTTTTTGGGTGGCCCATATGGGCCCCTGTAAGCATACCTGGAGCTCTTCAGGGCTACACTTCAGTTCTATGCTTGTCTAGTAACCACTATGTACCAGAGAGGATTGTTGGTGAGTATACAGGAAGAAGAAAAAAAAAAAAATGAGGGAAGAAACAAGGTGATGGGAATTTATCTTACCATTGACTGTCAGGTTGAAATTAGAACTATCAAACTTGTCCTTGGTAGACACCTCACATCTGTATCCTCCTGCAAAAGTCATGTTTGCTTCTACAATTTCCATTTCAAAGGTGTACACCTGGAACAGACACCAGTGATGAAAGTCGTAAGTTAGAAAATGAAATAGTGAGAGTGCGTGCAGCATAGCAAGAGAGAGTAGACAAGGGATCAGTAGGCCTCTGTGTCCCTCTAGAATGAAGAACCTCCTGCACTAGGACTCATTACAGACTCGGTTGGGACAGCTCGAGTGTTATCAGTACGGGTCTGCCAGAGGACACGGTGCTGTGTAACCAAACAGCACCCGTGCGTGCAGTCATCACACGCACTAACTGCACGTCCACTGGGTGCTTTCCTTAGCCACCTGCAGCAGCCTGTGTACAGAACGCCTGCAGCACGTTTAGCCGTTCAGCCAAAGGGGTGGCTGGTGGGAGCGCGTCTGTTCCGTTACACCCAGGAGAGGGCAGTAGCTTCTCACAGACCGTACAGGACGAGCCCTCACGCTGCAGACTTTATTCTAATCCTGTTTCTGTATTATGGTATGCCTACAGCATCATATGTAGCTTTGAGTACCTTAGTATCAAAATATTCTTGTATTAGCTTATCTTTCCCCAAGATTAAAGATTAGGAGACTGAGAACCTTATTCTGTGAGCTGTACCTTGTTATTTCGATCATAATTGTCACGTAGCTGAAGATGTTTGCCCACTTTACTTCCCAGGTCCATCCACTTTCCTTTGAACCATTTCACCGATGGTTTCTTCAGCAGGCTCTCACCTGCCACTTTGGCAGTGAATGTGATGTTTCCACCTTGTCAGGAAAGTGTTTATAAGATTACAAATAGCGTTTAATTTATTTGTTACGTCACTGCTGTCATCATGTACATGGAGAGCTAAACAGTCAAGTGACGGGTAGTTTACAAACATCATGCGACTCACGTTTTGTACTCACCAACAGTAACTTCTCCGTCCTGGGGTCGTGTCACGAAGAGCCCAATAGGGTCCACAGGGCCTTCTGGCTGAGTCCCAGCAAGTGCAACTGAAGTAGACATCAGAGTTACCAGTTAGGACTTTCTGCATCATCTTCTGGTTACGACCTATATAGTGAGTTTATTAAGTCATTGCAAAATATCACTGGTTTTTCTGTCTGAGATTCTGTATTTATTGCCTATCGTGGATCACTTGTGGTCTGCTTTCAGCTGCTGCCTCTAGCTCACTGACTTAAAGGATTCCCTGTTCTTCCCTTCTGTTAATGAACCAGACTCGATAACAGCATCAGTTCTCTGTTACCTTCTGTGTTTTGGCTGCTTTCTACTGGTGGGGCAGAGCGGGGTCTGGAGCAGCTGCAGCAGGAGTGACCGTCTCGCTCTTTTCTGGAAATGTACGTAAGCCAAGATTAGAGAAGGTTATGTTTCTACTTCTTTTCTGAAAAAAAATTTTGCAGAAGAACAGCTTTTAATATGCGTTAGGAAACACAGAGAAATTAGCTGTGGTTTTCTAGAACTTAGAGGATGTGCTGGAAGGAAAAGGAGCCTACTGAACCTGGATCGTGAGGCTCTTTCTTCTGCTGAACTTGGAAAGAACTAATACCTGGATTCTTAAATCTATGGTCTTGATGTGTAGAAACTTATTAGCTCACGAGGAGCACTATTATTTGATGTTAACTTAAGGAGTCTAAATAGAAAAGGTAATGAACAATTATGCAGTTATTATTTTTGTAAACAATCTGCTTGTTCATGAGGTTTTGTTCAACTGAGCTGCTGGAATGTAACATTCCAAATGCTGTTGCTGTGTGCAGCTTGGGAAAAGCTCCAGAAAGTGCTAGAAGTCACTATCGAGAAAGTATTTTTAAACTCTGTCTATCATTTCTTCCCCTGGCTTATGGAAGATTATGACTTCTCAGCTCAACCACGACTCCACAGACAAATCCAGGCAAATGCATTTCACGCAGTGGAGAAAATAGAAATGTATGGAAAGGGAGTAGGAATGAGCAGCTAGGGCAGATTGAGGGAGGTAGAGTTTCTTGAAATAGGTCAGTTGTAGCAGGATTTTTTAAAAATTTTTTTCCACAGGTAGTGGAGCCACTTCCAAAGGGCCTCACCTACCTCTCACTTTAAGTCCCACGCGCAGTTTGCTGGCTGTTTGCAACGTCTTCTCCACCAGAGATATCTGGGCCTGTTATGCTGCGTTATGACTCATTTGAGATGCTCCTCTCCCACAAAGGGAGGTGGCTGTGTCTGGGCAGGTTAGGGGGCAGTTTCCTTTTTTTACTTTTTTTTTTAATAATGAAGGTCTGAAATGGTAATTGTTTGCAAAAATAACGGATAATCTGCTTACTCTAACAATCTAATCTGAAAAAGGTGTGAAGAACAAGACAGTACCTGTGAAAGTAGGGTCTGTTCACAGAACCTGTGAACGTGGGTTAACATTGCTCTCAGAAAATTCACACCTTTTACCCTAAACCGCATTTTTGTCTGGAAAGAAAACAGTATGATTGTTACAATTTTTATTTAAAAGAAAGTATTAAGCACCTTAGTTTAGGTCAGGTTAGGGTAGACTAGTTTTGCTTTGCTTTGCTTTTTGATTCGTAAGTTTAAAAGCTTGACAGAGAATTCTAAACCTGTCAGTTGAGATGTCCTCTGTGATCTCCACTGTGTGGACTTCTGACATTTGGATATGCATGTCTTAGACACAGGAAAGTATTCCTCAGCCTAATATTAATGAGAAGCTTCAAATAATCATGGAAAACAGATGTGTTGTTGGTAGAGGAATAGGACTGTTAGAATAGACTCATTTCTGTGGGCCTCATTAATGAATTTTGCATGTGGGACTGGAAATACCAATGAAATTAGAATTGCTTTGGAAACACTGTACCTGGTTCTTTGACCTTGAGTTCAAATTTGACCTTGGAACTTCCAGCTATTACAGCATATGTCACATCGTCTTCTTTTCCTACATCATTGATTGTCAGTGAATGCTTGTTTCCTTCTGCCTTGATGACATATTTCTCACTGTCAGTAATTTCTGTGCCGGCCCGTTGCCATTTCACCTTGATGCCAGCTTTTTCTGTCTCTGCTTCAAACACAGCTGTGCTTCCGGCCGTCACCTCTGCTGTCTTTGGCTTCTTGGTAAATGCAGAAACTAAAAAAAGAGAGGGCTCACTAAAATCTGTTGTGCCATTGTGGTGTATCTGGTGCAGTCAGCTGCTGTGGCTGCAACAGCTGTCTCCTTTCTCTCCCATCTGCCCGTGCAAGATATAAATTACAACACTTTCCACAGAGGTGGTGCGTTGGGTTTACCGAATTGTGTCTCTGACAGAGATGTTGTATCTTCTCCATATTGTCATGAAATAAAATGGCTAGCAGGCTCATCTCACTGGCCATCTTCCTCTTTCTTAACCCCATAATGGGCTCTGATTTTTTGTAAGTGAATGCTTTGATCTATGACAAGATGGCACGATCTGTATGCTTACATATCAAGCTCTCTACATTAATTTCCCATGTAGCTTTATTTAGAAATATTCTTTCCCAACAGTTGCTTAAACAGTATCATGTTCTCTTCCTCAAATATTGTCTACATGTTCCTCAAACAAATTGTCTATATCTCTCTTACTTGAGCAGCAACAACAACATTTCCAAACACCACAACAGTCGTTATAAATGTCTTTAAACTTTTGAGTCTGCTTTATAAAAATGAAAGGAACATGGCATAGAAATATTTTAAAAGAAAGAGATTATATTTATGTTCAAACGTTTCAGTTAGTATAAATGCTGTACTGCTAATACCATCCGCTCATTGCATAAAATCTCTGTTCATGTAGCATGTCCTCAGACTTCAAAAATTCGTTGACCTCAGCAGATCACTGGCAAAGATTTCGTACGATGGCCTCCGGACTTCAGCCGCCATACAGTTCACATTTCTTGCGTTCTTTTGCAAAGGATTCAAGCCGCTGAAACTTTTGTTTAAGTATCAAGTACAAACACTTTAAGAATTTAGTTTGTAATGTATTTGTTACATAAAAAAACTTAGTTGCGTTTTTCTTTCTTTTTCCTTTTTTCCCCACCTTTTATATATTTAATGAAGAAACAGTTTAGGATGGCACTGAGCCTATAGTAGCCTTGACTTAGTTCCCATTCTTCTGCATGTTTTTCTTCCCTGTTAAGACATTAAGCGTGTGAGATTTCCTCTGGGAGCAGAATGTCCCTGCATGCTTTTATCTGGGTGTTCCCTAACCTCAGGCCTGTAAGTGGTGTAATTGTTCTTTAACAGAGTACAGGGCTCTATACTATGGAGTTGTTCTCAAATGCCTGTTATCAGCTGCACATCTTTTGATATGGTATTGCACTTCAATAAGTAGTATAGCAGGGTATGCTTTGATGCAGTGCATTGTGTATAATTGCAGAAGAGTTAATGTAGACAGCAGGTTGGATAGACAGAATTTAAAAGACATGTAAAGGCAGTCAGACTACTGCGTGGTGGGGAGCCAGGTCAGGTCTGGAACTTATTCCCAAAACACCACTAGCTGGCTCCTCTCTCTCTGTGATGCTAGAGATGAAGCAGCTAAAAGGCATGGGTTTTGTTTCTGAGTGCTATGGCCATCACTTTTCTATTTAAGCACAAAAAAAATCTATAGATGTGTTAATTACTCAACAGCAATGTGGCCTGTAAAGGTCCCACCTTACAGACAACAGGATTTCAGGATGTGCATCCTTGGAAGTAACTCCCCAATCTGCTGCACACCCTTAGAAGTAATTACGTTCCCTATATTTCCGTCAGAAGACCCAAAAGACTCAGCAAGACCAGATCGTTGGCCAGAACTATGTGCACAGTGAGAAACCATGGAATATTTCTGACTTCGGGAAATCAAAATTCTCACATAGAAGTTTACGAGTAAATCTCCTTGTCTTTTTTTTTTTTTTTTTCCCCTTTCCTGTCAAAAGAGCCATTTCAGTTCTAGCTTAAAACAATAGTGAATACTTCCACTAAAGCCTAAATCCAGAGAAGCCAGCCCTCTCCTGTGTGAATGAAAGCCTGCAAGAACAGTTGTTGAGACCCCACTTGTTCATGGGTAAAGAGGACTCTTAAGAGTCCTTTTCCTGTGCTTACGATTCAGAGTCAGTATGTGAGTGTGCCCAAAATTTGTCTTCTGTGTGTATCTGGATCCCCTTTCATCTTTCATTGTTCATATTTGCAAAGGAAAAGTAGTGATGCAGGCTGGAGATTTTACAGGAAATCAGTTTGTTGCTGAAGAGAGACTGCCAAAAAAGCATGTGAAGAGAATGCAACCATTTTCCCTTCTTGGAGAAAAAAACGCTGCCTAAGAGAAGAAAGACATTTGAGAGATCTGCTATTCTCAGTCTCCTTCATTGCAGCTGCTACTTTAAAATCAAGTTCACCAGCAGATTTTTTTGTGTGTGTGCAGTCACACCAATCTAATCCTGCTATTTCCTTATTAGGAATGTTCTTCAACACCACTGTTCAAAGCTTCTTGTCTGTCCTGAGAGCCACACTTCAGCCTGCTTATATAAGAAAGACTTTCCCCATTTGGCAATCTCTATCACTGACTTTTGGCTTTTACCCAGATATGCCCCTCTGAGCTCCATATAGCCATCCCATACTCAAACACCACTATCAGGGTGCGGAGCACAATAGCTGTGACACCTCTCATGTCATGCTGTGGAATGTCTTACGGCTCTTGTGCCTGTCAGGCACTGACGGATCTCAGGTCCTATCACTTGTTTATCCAGACTCCAGTCCAACATGCACTTAGGAGCTATGGGCTGGGGCACCTGATGACCGAGTAGCCCATGTCCTCTGCTGCCCACTTTGTTAACTCTCTGCTGCCCGGTAAATTCTAACCCACCCTGCACCACGGGAGAGAAAGGTGACATTAGTATGAACATACTGCAGTGGTTCTGAAGGGAGGGCAGAGACACATGTGAGTAACCAGTGCTGATGATGACAGGAATTATTGAACGGCAAGAGACCGATAGGTGCTCTCTGTGTGTGTTTTTTGTGGGATGGAATAGGGATTGCTATGGGGAGAGAAGAGGGATGTCGAGCTAATGAGAGAAGCTGAGGCCAGAGCTGCTTTGTACTAACCCATTTTTCAGCACGTCACTTTTCATACCTCAGACTTTCCTAATCACTTCTAGCTTCCATAACACAAAGAACTTTCATAGCTTGAGTAATATAAACCAGCAAATTCCCCCCCACCCCCAACAACACCACCACAAGCAGAAGAGGAAGCAGACTGCCTGTGGTCTGCAGTAGTCTTGCAGAAAACTTTTTGGTGGCTAGTGCTGCTGCTACCAGAACTTGCACCCGTCCTTTAAAAATCTTGTAATACCTGAAGATGTGCAAATCAGCCATACAGTTACGTACATTACAGGAGTTACAGCTTCATTCATTAGTAATAAAAAGCTTTATTTGGAGGTCCATAATCAGATTTTGCTGTGAATTTATTAAGAAGTCTCTCAATCAGGAGGCTGAAGAAATAAAAAATGCACTTCTTTTGCTCAAATTAAAGTAGAATTAAATCACTGAAACTCCAAACCCCATTTCCTTTGCTTTTTATCTTGATCAAATAATGAAACTACTGGTCTGCCTTCCTGCTGCTGCCATTTGTTGTATCTTTATACTAGCATCTTCATGCTTTCTCCATTGCTTTCTGACCTGCTTTGAAGCAACCTCCTCCTAACATCCACCATGCACCTAGTTTACTATTGTGCTTCAAAACTTTTTCGTATTCCCCTGTGCAAAAACCTAGAAAATGCCTAAGCTACTACCAGGTCACTCTCTATTGTACTAGTCATCGTTTCCTTTGCGTTCTTGTTGAGCTATCTATCTATTTACTGGGCTTTTGTTTTTGAAGTGTTTTGAGGCAGACTTGTTTTTGTTGTCTTTGTACAACATAAAATTTTTGGTGAGTACCTACTAAGTACTGTTGTATCCCTAGTAAGAATAAAAATATCAGAAGCTATAAGAGACATTCCTATTTGATTATTGTAAAAAAAAATGAAGAAGACACACACATTAAAATAATGTTTAAATAACTGGCACAATTTTGGTTCTTAGCCACATTCTCTAAATAATTTGGCTTGTTAAGAATTGCAAGCATTTGGTGAAAGCCTTTTCCTAAAATCACTGGATTTCGAAGTATGTGTGAAGTATGTGAAATGAAAATGAGGAAGAAGTGTGAACTCCACAGGAGTCATATTAACTAGATAGAGGAGAGCCATTCTTGTGTTTAGTGTTTGCTTGGGGTTTTTTGTTTGGTGCTTTTTTGTTTGTTTGTTTCATCCTACTTCTCAGAGTGGTGCCTCTGACCAACTCATCATCACTACTTATTTGTGATATGCACTTGGTGGAGAGGGAGACGAGGACAATGTGTGTCAGATAAGGCTTTCGAATGGTATTTCTGCCTTTCTGAAATAAAAGCTGTTAAAGGTATAAATGTTTTAGGAGCATCTAATGTATCCAATGGAATGCACATGCTACAAACTCCAGCAGAAATCTGTGATGAGTGCAATTAGAAAGAATAGAGTCATGGGTTTTCTCCCACAAAGCTGAGTTATCTTACTGCACCTTTTGTGTATTTGTTATTAAAATACGTATCTGGCCAATGTATTGAATTAATATTACAAGTGTAGTATTGCATTTTGGAATTCCTTAATTTTTTAAGGCTTCATGCTGAAAATTAATCTTTGCTTTAGTCCTTAGACTTGGCATCTTGTTTTCCTTTTATGCCATTTGGCCCTCCATGGAGTTAAAAGCCATGCTGTGGATAAGCAGGGTTCCCTGATGGGGCTTGTAAATTCCTCGCCGAGGAACTATAAAGATGCTGCGCGTTCCTCAGTCAGGACCTAAGTGGCTTCTTGCAACTACAAGGTTTCTACAAGAATTCTTGCAACTACAATCATTCTGTGATCCAAAAGCAATTGAACTACTCAATCTTATCATTGCTTGCCTACATCAGCAGCTGAGATTGTAAATTCCTGTAACATGAGCAACAGGCGAGGAATAGTTTCACTAAGCAGAGTCACCTCTGTACACGTCCCTCATACTTGGTGTATAATGGGGAAAACAATGTTCAGCTTGCTTTGAATTTTAACTTGCAAAAGAGGAAAATCTATCAATATGAATTGTTATTACTTATTTCTGTATTACTGTAGTGCACAGAAGCTCATTATCATGGAATAGTGCTTTACTGTGCTAGGTGCTTGCCAAGACCGTGAGCTTATATTCAAACTAAAATTCTGCAGTGTACTCCTTGTTCTACAACATTGATTATCACCAGTATTTACACCAAAAGTCTCTGGGTACTCACAGGGCAGGTGATTTATTGAACCCTTGATAAAATTTGCTGATCTGAACTGCAAAATCTAGAGTCTTCAATGTATAATGTGTGTAGATAAAAATGGACTGATTGTCAGAGAGGGTGAATAACACCAGACTTCTCTTTTTCCATAGACAGCAATGAGCATTTCCCAATAAGTCATATTCATCTGCTAAATCTGGTGTTTAAAAGGTCAGCTGTATCCGCTTAATGTCACAAAATATTGTTAGAGAAATGCTTGGGGTTTTTTAACCTTTCTGAATTTTCATAACAAAAAGGCAATCTAAACTTTCCAAAAAGCAAGCCTTTGAGCAGAGATTAAGTGGGGGAAGAACACAAAGTTCCTGCACCAGAACCCCACAAAACCTGAGATTTTTCAATGTTTGATTTTTTTGCTCTGACACTAATTTGCACAAGTCTTCTAAATCCTGTTGATCTTGGGGAGTGTAGAGATTTTCTGGAAACCTATGACAAGTCTTCTGATATTCTGTAAATAAATGAGGGAGTACCTTATGCTGAAATGTTTTAGTTGGACAGCTTAAAGTAAAAGAAGTAAATCTACCTCGCTGGTTTGGGTTTTGTGGGTGTTTTGTTTGTTGTTGTGCTGCATTTTTTTAACATGTTAATACAGCAGAAATAGTCAGAGTCCCTCAGATCATTCTTCATCATGAAGTATTTTTGTCTGTATGAATTGCTAGATGATTATTCAGCCCTCCTGAGATTATGCTCAACATTATCCCATTTTGAAATGGCTTGAACTGTATAAAGAGTATGAAATAGAAAACCAAAGGCCTTTATGTCTCTTGGGGGATGAGAAGATCCCCTGCAGAAGCTGTAGAGCATGTGACTGGTGCTGTCTTGTTCAGAGTGGGTAATAAGAGCTTTTCCTCCCCCTGCTGTGATGATAATCAGTGTTTGGGCTGGTTTGTAACCAAGAATGGTGTAGGACTAGAGATGTTAGACACCTGTTAGATTTCTCTAGAGAAACAGGAGGGAATAGAATTTCTCTTCCCCATTACCTAGCAAAGATGGGCATGAGAGAAGTTGCCCCTCATTCACAGAGACTGAAAAAGTTTAAATAAGGGCAGTTAATTCATTACAAATAAAAATTTGCAATGTCTAGGTTATTCACACTGTCAAATTTTGCCTAGTCTGTTGTACTTCTTTTTGCCAGCATGGTCGATCACAAACATTAAGACATTCAATAAGTACCAAAAATCATGTGACTTTAGAACTAGAATATGATTATGAATGTCTTATTTTGGGCGTGATTGCTGAACTTCTACAGCTTATATTTTCAAGGTTTTCTCTACAATTACAAGGTCTGGTATACACTTACTTGTATATACAATTCTACTTCTGTCTGATTTCAGAAATTGCAGCTTGAAGAACGTCAAATGATGTTATACTGGTGATAAAATTGAAGGATTGGTGACAGCATTGTTGCTTTAGAGTTATCATGTAGAAGGAACATAATCTCGGAATTAATCATGCTTTAGTGCTTTGCGGCTCTTAATGGGAGACATAGGCTGCATTTGTGTTTTTCCTCTGGCAGTGGCCCATTCCAAATATTTTGGCCAAAATGAAAGTTCTTTGTAAGAAATTCTTCTTCTTTTCCTGTGGTGACTAGAGGAGATTTTCCCACTGACCAGCCTCATCAGGAGACTGATGTCTCTTTGCAAACCAGGAAAGCCTGCATTAATAAGCAACATCTATTTTTTACTAACTCGGGAAACTGTGCTTGATTAAAAAAGTGTGCACCTTGTACTGTCCGTGTGAGTAAGAGTGATTCTGGGTGTGCCCTGGCAACAGTCAAGTGAGAGCTCCAAAAGTGAAGAATCACAGATTTAGTACAATTTTCTCCAGCCCTGTGTGTGGGACATGTGTGCACTTTTCAAATGTTTGTAACTTCAGCTTTTGACAACTTTTTTCCCAAACTTAATTGTGGAGACAAAGTGCTCCTGAGACATCTTGCCCTATCCACACACAGGTGTCCTGAAGCTGAACTCTCCCTTCTGCTTCTCAGGCTCTCTTCATCCTTCTCAGACAGGGACTGATTGCACATTACACCCCATCATAGGCCTCCCCTTCTTTCCTATGTAGGCAGCCTCTGACTGGTTTCTTATTTCTTAATTTTAAATTAGAACTTTCCTAAATCTGAAATCTTTTCCTGATATTTTTCTAGTAGGGCAAGACTTGCTCTGGGCTCTGTGACCTTGGCTTTCCAAAAATGGGATGAAAACCTTCTAGCTGAAGGGGAAAGGATAGAGGAGGGCGAGTGAAAAGAAATAGGCATATATTCTTGGCAGTGCAATATCTTGTGTTTTTCCTAAAGTTCTACTCTCACTGGCTGGAAGAGCTGCAAAGAATAAGTGCTGACCCTGGTGCCATTTGCTTTAATTTTGGCAGAGGATTCACTAACAACGAATACTATCAAAGTTTGCCACTTACATTTCTGTCAAAGTATCATGGAAGAAAACAAAACCAGGAGACATTTATACTACCTGACAGCTCAAGAGAGAGAATAAAAGCTCTTTTCAAAGTCTCAAGGATGACTGGGGAAGAAAATGAGAATCAAAAACAATATGAGAATTAAATGCTTTTCACCTATATTGTTTCCTCATCCAAAGTCTCCTGAGAAAATTCTATGGCTGAGAGTTGCTAAACCAATTACTGATTTACCTGCAAGATCACTCAACATCTCTTATATTTATAACTTCATAAAATATCATCTCTTTTTTTCTCTGGTTTTCTTTCCACTGAGACATCTCATTTCTCTAGTGTACAAAAGCTACTCATGCTTTCCTCTGTCAAGCTGTCCTTATATTTTGTCTGTCAGTTATGATGCTTACCTGTTTTCTTTGCAGGCTCTGGCATCTTCACTTTGTTTCTGATGGAGCTCCCACTTGTATCTAGAAAGCAGGGTCTGAGCTGTACAGGAATGAGAATTCAGGGCTTTTGAGACCCCCTAAAGAAACACTCAGTGGAAGCCCCCATCCTGCTCCTCCCCCTTGATTCCCCACTGTTGTCAACTAACAGCACCTTATCAACAGCAGGACACTTGACAGGCTACATCAGCTGGGATAAATATAGCCAAGTTCCAGGAGCCAGAGAGCTCAAAACACCCAGCGCTGGCTCCCACTGATCTGTTGGGACAAACCAGAGCACAATGTGATGTGGCACATAGGTGCAGCACTTCTTCCAGCTTCACGTGTGCATTGTGTTAAGAGTTCCTGTGCTGCTACCCTTGTAGCACATTCAGCAAACTAGATCTGATAGTTACACCTCCCGAGTGCTGGTTCTGTACTTACCCTCGGCACGTGTCTGCTTGCATTCTTGCTATTTCACTCCTTGCTATTGCTAGAATTCAGTCAGAATCGAACAGGCCCTCAGAGAGCTTTTTTCTTAATTCTTTTTTTTCCTCTGCTGCCAAGGACTGTGTGTAGAACTAATTGTGAACCTTCAGGAATGAACTTTCAGAGACATTGACACATTATTGACGTTTGCAGTCACAAGTGGAAAGCATGACACTTCTCAAATAGTTTCTGTCCTCCCTCTCCATCCACCTGCTTGGTCCGCAGCATGTATTTCTTGAAAACTAGCAATTTGTTTTGTTTTATTTTTTTTTTCAGTTTTTTTTTTTTTGTTGTTGTTTTTTGTTTGTTTGTTTGTTTTGTTTTTAAAAGTAACATTTAAAAAATAGTTCTAAGGTTTTATTCAATACCTCTAGAAGTTTTCGTTTTGCCTTATGTAGAAAAGATCTGAAGGAGATCTCACTAGAAAATTACTCTGGTGTTGCTGTTTCATGCTGTAGTTGTTGCTTCTTATTTATGTATACTTTTAGCCCATGTCAAAATAGTAATTGGGACAATTGGGACAAGCATCCCTTTATTGACTTGCTGGTCTATTGCCTGTCAGTTTTGTCTGTACTATCTTGAGCTTTATCAGAGAAACTCTGTGGGCCAAGCCCTTAGCACATTTTAGCTACAAGTCATATTGAAAAAAAAGAATTATAAAAACCCTGTGGTTTACAGTTTTTCCAGTTTTACTAGCCTGTGAAAACCACACTGTGAAGGATTTCTGTTTTTGGCAGGGAGCCCAGAATAGACGAGCGTGCATGCAGCCCATCAAGTCACTGCCCTTTGTGTCTGTCTTTCGTATCTGGCTCTCTGGGTAGACTGGCAGGACAAATGTGAACGTGTGAGGACGACTGTTGCCACCTCTCCTGATTTTCAGCCAAATACTTCCCAGAAGGAATTTTTTTACCTGTGAGTGAGGAAAATGGGCAGGTACATTTTCCTCACTCACAGGCAAATGTACCTGTGTACATTTTCCATTGTCTCCATTTTTATTGAAGTAGATGTTAGCAGGATAATGGTTTTTGACTCACTATCCTGTGCCTGATGCATTTCACTGAGATTCTGAAATCTCAATTGTTTGTGTTGGCTCGAAGTTTTCCATGGGGCTTGAGTCTTACAGTATGAAAAATCCATCGCACTCAGAAAAATAATGTTTCCCTATGACAGAGCTGCTCTTAAGTCCTTCTTCTCTCCAGAGCTGATCCCCAAGACACTGCTGAAATGGTATTCAGGTCCCTCCTGGGGACAGAGTTGTCTCCCTGCAGCCTTAGACCACGTCGGCAGTAGGCAGAGCTATTGTGGACAGATAACAGAGGAAGAAAAAAATCCATGCAGATCGTTCAGAGGTGGACAGTGATCAGAGCCATGATTCTTCTCAGCTTAGCTGTCTCCCTAGTGCATGTCCTTTGAATAATGTTTGCAAAGAAAAACAGCCGACTAGAAATCGCTTCTGCAGAATTTAAAACACGAGCCTCTTGTAATTGCCATCGGAGTATGCTGTTCTTGCTCAGGAATCATTTTGCCTAGAGAAGTTAGTTTGGCCCCTTCATCCTTTGTCCCTCACCTGTTACCAAATAATTACTTTTACCGAAAGCTCCTATGCTATGTTTGGAAGTTCCTGATATGATAAAATACACAGTATGCTGACATACTCTGTTAGATTTGGATTCAAAAGATTGTTGAGTTCTAAAGGCTTTTTTTACAGTTCTTACCATAGGCCTTTACTAGCATTAACTAAAATAGCCTAGGTAGAAATAAACCCTTTTGTATGGGTTTGAAGGAAATACATACTTACATACAGACCGTTTAAAATGCGAGCATCTATCATGTACTTCAAGCCTGTGTGTGTTCTCTGCAGTGTCCAGTAGGAGGAGCTTCAAAGCAAGAACTGAGAACCTTGGAAAGATTAAATACGGGATGATGTGTATTTTACACAGGACTCATTCTGAATTCTGATAGATACTGGCTTAAGTACATGCTAAATATTTCTTCAAAGCTCTTGCAACTCTCAATATTACTGATCGGCATAAATACTTATTTCTCTCTAAAATGACATTAGGTCCTTGGAATCCATACTGTTTGGAATTCACACTGTTTTTTAGAAAGGAAAGCTAGATGGTATTCTATGCATTTCTTTATTAATGTGGACACAGGAGATCATCCCAACAATGCTTGCTGCAGTCATGTAATAAGTTCTTTCTGTTTTGCAGTCTGTCTTGCTTATTTATCACAGATACTTAGAAACTATTTTACACTTTAAGAGGCACTCTCCTAAGTGCCTTGGAACCTTTTCCCAATGCATTTCTTGTTTCCGAACCTTTATATGTGTGTGGTTGTTTTTTGTTGTTGTTGTTTTTTCTGTTTAAATTCCTCATTTAATGTGATTGTAGCATTTTCCTTTTCCTGAATGGATTTTCCCACCTTTGTCAACACCTAAAGTCTTATTTTATATTTGTATCTTTTTTCTCAGGATTTTGTTTTATCTGTTTTGCATCTTTCTTAATGTATACTTGATTCTTTCTTGAAGGATTTAGTGGTATAGTTTTAATTCAGCATATAGATACCAGATGGCAAGTTACCAGAGGACACAACTTTAAACATGGACTTATTTCTGGCTATTTGTGTGCTGAAAATCAGGCATATTTAATTCAAGTGCTGCAGTAAGTCAGTTGCTTAGTTGGTTATTCTCCACAGATGCTTTCCAGGGTTCAGCATCGAGTTTAATCTGAGGAGGGCGTGAGTTGCTTCTTTGCCACAATGAAACACAGCCACGAGAATGATCTAATCTGATGGAGGCAAGGGATCCTTTTTCAGTTAGAACTTTGCAGCTTTTAAATGTAACTTGAAGTACTGTGAATTTTAGAAGTATTTTTTACAATAGTGCCTGCACGTTCAAGGCAAAGTTTTCTCTGCTATTACACTTCTGGTTACCAGGTGGCAGCATTGTTGTAATCATAAACTTTTTTCTAGCGTTTTCTATATTGTATGTATTTATTTATGTATCCACGTTTAACAACAGAAGTGCTATGCAAATATGACCTATATGATAGCAATGGCTACATTGCCCCAAAGTAGTCGTGTGGCAGATTGCGATAACCACGTAGCAGTGGACCACACCAGCAGGCAATTTTAGAAAGTGTGTGAAGTTTCATCTGATATTCAAATGGAGCAGATGTGCAAGCGTAGGGAAGCAACACATAAGAAATGTCTTTGGGGCTTGGCTAAAAAAGTGACTGAGAGGAAAAAAGGGTGTCCTTCCTTGTCAGAGGAATTATCTTGCAAGTCTGAAATTACTGTTATGGGCCTCTGATGGCGGCTTTCATTGTGTAGTTCAAAGTCAAGTTCAAATACAGCAGTAATAAATAGACTGGGTCTTCCTGATTTTGAATAGTTGCAGCGTGGCTTATGCAGAGAAACCCAAGGATTTATTATTTATAGGCTAAGTTAGCAGCACCTCCTTCTAATAAGACTATTCCACCTCCTATTAAAAGGCTATGTTTTAAGATGGTTATGACTTTGCCCGAAGGTAGTTATCCAGGCAGAAAACCTAGATACACTTTTCTACTTTGGAAACTTTTTTTTTTTACTGCCTTTTTTTTTCTGTTAGATTGAGTCATGCCATTTGATTTCTTCTCTGTCTCTGGTTTTCTGTCTTCCTGCCTCTTACTTTTGTGAAAATATCACCTCATCTGTGACTGAGCAGTTTCTGAAGACAAGGCAGTATCATTTACTCTCGGTGCCAGGGCTGTAGATTTCCTGCTGTGGAGGGTGGGGTAGCGTCTGGGTGCAGAGCCTGGGGCGGCGGGAGCCATCCACTGACTGCTGCGCCCACCAAACCTGCCAGACGGTTTCTTTGGGCCTTTTGGAACGTGCAGCTTTTGGGCCGTACGGTGCAAAGGCACTTGGCCCCACTGACAGAACCTGAGTTCCAAGGGCTTACAAGATCTGGGTAATGCTGATCCTCCTTATTTGAGCTTATCTCTGCACAACCACTTGGTATTCCTACGCTTTATACCCTATATTTGACAACTTTCTGGACATTTGACAGTTAACCTGCTTTCGTTTCAGAGATGTACTTTTAACTGGCTTCAGGATAACTAGCATGAGTTGTTCCGTATTCTAGATTATAGAAAAAAAATGCAGTCTACATATGCCCTGTGAGTACTGTCTAGATTGTATCCTCTGGAGAATTTTTGACTGTATCAGTTGGTTCCACTGCCGGGGTCAGCAGAATTTCCTCTGCATTTGTCTCTGAGCTACTGTGGGACCTTGTTTTGCCAATGACCAGGCCCAACAAAAATGATACAGCCAGCAGGAAGATGAACCAATACACAGACTGTATTGTAAGCAAAAAGGACATTCCGTGAATGATCACTGGGGGTACAAACAAGTCAATCAGCTGGTACATAATTGACGCCACCCCCAACGATCCCACAAAAGACATGACTTGTCCCACAACAGGTGGTACAAACAGAGACCCGAGGTTTCCCATAGTTGGCATGGGAAACAGCCAGACCAGCAAGTTAAACACATAAGAAAAAGGTGCACACATGGCGACTCTCACC